GTAGCAATGTTCACCTACTTTATTTGATCGATACATAAAACTTTTTTATTATAACAATCTTTTTGATTACCAGAGCAAAAATCAAAATAATAATAATAATAATAGCAAAGTAATGCAGAGTTGGCGAAGGGAGTAATAATTGTTTGAATAAGGGTAAAAATTTTCGCCATTTGGCCTACGCATGAGCAACTGATAATCAGCAATGATTTTGCTCTAGGCTGTATATAATTCTCCGACACGTTAGCAAATATGGATATTCACTACAGAAAAAGGCGGGTCTTCAAGACAGCCGAGATCCGGCCTTTACCTATGTTACAGATTTATCTGATTTGCCGAGGGGTCGACGAAGCTATTTCTCGCTGTTCGAGCGGAGAGGGGCCCTACTTGTGTTGATTATTTAATTGCAGGTATGTGTCCATTTTATTTGCGACATGGTCTTCGAATTTACGTGAGGGGCTTTTGTTAATTTTACTATCGTTGCTGCTTTCACGCCTTTAAGTTTACCCGCTGTTTACCTGTTTAATTATATAATGGTATTATAACATGCCGTAAAATGCTTCTTTCTGTAGTTGTTATGGGCATAATTGTTACGATTATTGTTGCTCTTGCTGCTGCTGTTGTTGTTATTGCTACTGTTGTCATAGGCTAATGCGGTCTATGTCAACATATTGAAACGCGTTGAACGAATCGCTCCGTCAGCGTCAACAACGGCGGCAGCAGGATAAAGTGTCTCCCTTCTTCGCCCTCTATGATGCTTATTGCCAGTTAATGGAGTTCAGTGGGAAATCAGTGGTTTCCATAGTCAAGATCATCTAGTATCGCCATTTTTCAATCGCTATTCAAATCAAGTCCGCCAAAGAACGTTTATGTAGGTTTTATGATAAATGGTCTTCCTTTCTCGCTGTTGGTAGCGAGGAAGAGGAAGTTTTTTTTTTCATTATAGAATTCTAAATAATAATGAGGGCAACTATAGAAAATATAGGGTACCAATCATTCAAATATGGTAAAGATTTGTCTTGCAACCAGATTGGCTCACATTTTAAGGTTTGTAGTGTTTTTTTTTTAAATTTTTCATCGAATAAATTGCCATACGTAGTCTAATTGTAATGAGTGGAGTTAATATTATTATGTTAGTTAACTTAATAACTGCAACGCTATGTGTTCAAGTTGGGCGGCTATATATTTGCATGTATGCGTTCGTCGGACGACGTTGAAGCGACGTTTTCGTGTCAACCTAAAACCGCTTTAAAAGCAACAACACGAACTGGATCGTTCCATCACGAGGAGCCATCGATCTTGTCGTGCTGGTAATTAATCGGTACGCCCTGCTGGTGTGCATGAAAGTGCACGACTACGCATCTATGATACGTGTCTTTCGAATATATCTTTCTTTTGTTGAAAAAATTCACGAGCAACGTGATATCACTCGTTTACTGCAAGAATACATTACGTGTAAAAACTACAGCAGATTTTATATCATATCGTTTTTATCACAGCTTTAAAAAGTCATCATGGTAGATTCTTCTCCGCCAAACCAGCAGGCGATCGGCGCGCATTACGATTATATAAGATTAAATGCAAGCGACTGTATCACAGTTGGTCAGTCCGTAACATAAACCACAAATGTACAGAAAAACCTCTCCGATATTTATCTATTCTGTTCAAAGGACGACAATGCGACTCTCGAGGCACCTGGTTGTAGTAATGCAAAATTTACGGAGACGCAGTTAGTTTTCTGTACTTGAATTTCTAGTTGTATTCTACCCCGCTGGTAGCTTCTAAGTATTATGATTTCGGTCTAGCGAAAAACCTAAATGGAACCATTTTCGAGCGTAGGAAACTGTATGTTCTCGATAAGTATGTTTCAAGCAAGCGAACAGCAGATGCACGTAATCCAAGTCATGTCCGTCGCGCCATTTCATGAATTCATAAACACAAACGTCTGGAAACTATAGAAAAACCCGTGTGTTTAGTTAATTACAAACGCGAACAATTGTTATAAACATCGACTCTAATCTTAAGAACTCTGTCTACTCTATGAACAATTTTGGTTCTGAACGTTCATTGATCGTTTTTTTTAACATTTCGGTGATATTATGGACGTCGTGTTTTGCAAATGAATAATGTACAGACTCGTACTTTTGGGGGGAAAGCCACCATTAACTGTGATCAAGAAATTACATTTACATACTATCGTTAATATCCTCTTATATTTAACTTGCCATGAAAGCTAAAATAGACGCGGAAATCCTATTTGATTAAAGGGGAGAATTCGACCTGATTTATTTCGTTTTGGTCTAATGATTTATGGTTGGCCCAGAACAGTTCATGACCTACCTCGACCTCTTCGAACACCTGATGCTTCTGATATAAGCCCGGGCTTTTATTGCCTAAAAGCATTCAACTTGCGCCACTTTCGCCGATCTAGAAAAAAGCCTAGGAAACGGACGAAAAAGCACATTTACTGGTGAATGCTTGGAAAGACCGGCAGAATCGATCTTTACATCCCATGCTTTGTGTCTGAGGTGGTAACTATTGTGACTTCAAATATTCTCATCGTGGATCTCATTCACAGAATATCCCTATCCACAGTGTTTATTTCAATTAGAGGCTTATGTTGGTGATGATGCTAGTTTGAGTAAAGATGCATGAGTTATACCGGATCGAAAATGTGCTGAAGATCCTTTGCGCGACAGTGTAAAATGAGACGTGATGGACTACTGATGTTTTTTGTCATATCGCAGTATTAATTAAAAACAGCGCGCTTCAGAGGCGATACGAGGAAAAATTTACACCGAATCGTACTTCTGCAATCAATCTGCCGAAGTTTATTATAAATGCGGTTCTTATCAATCATGCAACGTACGTTTTTGAAGCCGAAGAGCAACAGCACCCGGATCTGCACATGATTCGATAAACACATACGATTTTTTTTGTAAGGTTCAAATATACACTCCTTAAAGGAAAATGTTACTGTCTCTATCCAAAAAAGAACAGTAAACTGCTATCATTTTTTTTAACCAAATCCACTCAACTTCGTCACTGTGTATGGCCAACGAATAGTTCCACTACCCTAGAAATATGTTTTGCGAGAATACAATCTGTCGATCGACCTTATTTCTACATAATTAGGTAAGCATCGCTGCTATAAGCGTTATTAGCATTTGCCTGTTTCATCCTCCACTTATGCTGACTAATTATGATAATTGCTTATATATATATATGTATGTACTGCAAAGGTTGAAATTCGTAAAATAAGTAGAGCGGAATGTAGCTAGTTGATGAGCTCCCCTTATTTTCCTGTTCTTCTTCTTTTTCCATGTTGTCACAATGAGCAAAAAAAAGCCCAGCTGCCCATAGCAAAAGCCCAGTAAATGCAAAATCTCGCAAACATCTCATCTCATCGCTGTGAGAAGAAAGTGCATTTCGGCCCTTTCGCAAAGAAGCGTCATGGGGATCGCACACCGATAGCTTTTCCCGAATGGGTTAATCTGCTGTGAATGTTAATGGCCGGTCACTGTTGAGTGTGAAAGTTCTGTAATGAACGTTTACCGTCAATAATATTTAGACGTTAACTAAACTGTCTTTCTGGTTTTTTATTGCATTGTATTTTATTGTGGGCCGGGATCAGCTGTGCTCAGAGACAGTGCGCCGCCGCTGCCGACGAAGTCAGCTGCTACTAGACCAAGTGTTGCAGTTACCGCCGCTGCTGCTTCAGAAACCCGCGTTATCGGCAATCTGACGTTTGCAGCCATCTAATGCGCATCCATGCGGTGGATTGTCATCAATCATTTCTACTCATACAACTGTCATGTCGCAATATGATGTCAAAGATTACGCGTTACCTCTGCTGGGATAATTCGTTCGGTTCAAATGAGTGCGGAATAAGACGTTTGACAACGGGCGCGAAAACGGAGACAGATGAAAAACGACGATAGGCAGTTCGTAAATATCATGCATATCATAGATTCATTCGTTTCAGCTTACTCTGCAACGTTTTTTTTTTTTTTCTTTATTTTCTCCCACGTAAAATACGCATTCGGCAAGCCAATACGCTCGAAAAAATGAGGTGTGTTCTGAGAACCTACTGAAAACAGGCTCTGTCACGCTTTCGAAACTGTTCGCTACAAACACAGCTGAGGTAAATCTCTACGTCATGGACAGTCTTCACTCTAGATGACGATCATCCAGCGATGATCATATACTACGGGTACCACCTGCAAGGTTCAGATTCGCGGAGACTCATCGTTTCAGCCTCTGGTAACCAAGACCGGGGTTTACCCACTTGAGCATTGATTTGCCAGCGGCCGCAAGCCAAAAGACGTCGATCAGTCCCCCAGACAACCAGTGCGTCCATCGAATTCTTAATAGCAATTCCTGGCGGTGGTGCTGCCGTCGCTACTATTCTTCTGCCGTTTTCTCCTTCTCCCCCTCGTCTAGAACACGCAGTCACCATCAGATCCGCTACAGCCATTGCGGACGTCGCTTCTGCCTGCGCGTATCATCGCGGCTCGTCTGCCACCGCAGTGAGAAGTAAAGTAACCGCTGCCTCTGCTGCGGCACAAGTAGCAGCTGCTAGAGTGAAGGCGAAGTGGCGAAGTCGTCGTTGTGCTACTGGTAACATCAGTAGTTGTAGTAGAAACAGCGGCGGCGGTGGTAGCAGCAGCAATCGCAGCGGCGGAAGCAGCATCAGCGGCCATGCTGAAGAATCATGAAGTATCATCGCGTTGGCGAAGCGTGACGTACCTCTTCTGCTGTGTTCAGCAGTTCAATCCAGCTCATTTCAGCTTAGCTGCGTTCAGTCGGCGGCTGTCGTTCGTGGGGAACACTTGCGACACCGCTTGACCTACAGGCCCCGAGCACGCGGAGCCTCCGCTGAAACCTCTGCCGTGAAACTAATACGGCACTACTGTGGACGTGACTGTGGCAGTCATCGACTGGCGATCCAGCTCTTACTACACCCAGACCCAATGAACACAGCAGCTAGGTCGTACGTACGATGCCGTGTCATCCAGCTTGAAATGCAGCTACAGCCCATATATCCTTTATTCCTATAACCGCCATAGTAATCTGTATTCCTAAGCTTATTTTATACGTATATATACGCTGTCTGCGAGAAAGCACCAAGTTTCCGGCACCTGCCTGTATTCTACTCCTCGTCAACCTCACGTCAGAGTCAAACGGGGTCTACAGGCACGCGCAGCTCGACCAATATACGAACGGAAAAGAAACCACGGATCAAAACAAAGAGTCCACGGGGGTGGCGCTGAGAGAGGGGAATAAGGGTGAAAGAACAACACCAAATCTGCAACGATTATTATTGCACCTAGGCATCAAAAAGTGCTTTGTGTGTTTAGCTCACAATTTGCTATCGTTATCGCCCAGAGGTCTGTGTATTCGGAGGCGAGGTGCAGAGTGACGCATGCATACACGAACCCCGCATTCACGAAAGAACTTGAGCGTGTGGCGACTTCAATTATTATCGCATAGTACACGATTAAATGCGGTCTGCTCGCTGTCAGGTCGTCTGTGGAACATGCGAAGGTGTGAACGTTACGGATAAAGGTTACGGCAAGAAGTGGTAAGTCAAACGCATTTGCTAATCCGTGCATTGCGACAATCGACAGTACTGTCACTCAGTGCTGTCTCTGCTCTCTGACTCGTACAGTGACTGGTAGACGGCGTCGACGACTACATCGACTTGCGTCTGCGGCGAAGCAGTGCGCTCTCCTCCCCTAAAGGGGCGTGTGTCAGCGTTGCTCCTCACTCCGACACACCACCACTAAGCACTCTCCGGAAAAGTTCATCCCGCGTCAAATAGCGCATCGACTATTTCCGAGTGATGCTCATATTGCCTTTAGCTGAGCCGTTTTCAACAACGTCTGTGGACTTCGAGATCGATAAACGTAAGACGAAAACCCCCCGTATAATAGCCTCAATAAAATACTTCGTACGTAGATTGCGCAGCCGGTGGGATGCTCAAATGCATGGTGTCGTTTCAACATTAACGACACCGTAACGTAACAGAGAGTGGAACTGCGCCGGACTGTCTGTGCCGTGATATATTATACTGAACCTACTGTGGGTCGAAGAGTTGACAAGTTGAATAGCGAACGTAGCAAAAAACGAACTATTTCAAGCATTATTACTGCTGCTGCTGCTGCTACCATTGGAGCGAGACTAGCTGCTCTACAAAAACAACATAGCGTTGTTGTCGTGACTTCTTTTTTACCACAAGTGCTTTCGCGACTTTGGTTCGAGCAGTAGTTGCGCAGCACCAAGCAACTAAGTGGCCGACCCGGGGTTTTGGTGTGGCAGGCATCCGCTCGTGGCCCGCATCCGTGGTTCTTGCAGCCGCAGCGGCTCTGCTAGAGTGATACGAACAACAACAGAATACTAATCTGTATCTGGCGGCAGACTAGTTAGTCCGCGCAGTAAACTGAACAAACCGTTCCTGCCGTGCTGGCGCACTAGTCGACTGCGGTGATCACTGTCACCGTCATTGATTTGACCACAAGATACAGCCAAGATGGACGAGAACAACACGAACAACAATAAAAGAACTGGTACCAGTGGACGATCTACGGTCGCGGGCCAACTGCCGGAGTGCGAGGCCGCCAGTAGGCTCGCGCACAAAGCGATGACTGCCACCGGAGGCCGAACCCTTCGCCCCTTTCACTGGCTGGCGCTAGCTGCAGCATGCGCTCTATTACCTATCATTGTCTACGCTGCACTGACTGTGCTTCAAAGCAACGACGTTGTCCTGACTATTCCCATCACCCGAAAATCAATCGCTGACCGAAGTGACTATATGGGATTGCATCTACGAAACGGAATGCGAGTACTTTTGGCATCAAAGCCTGATTCCCCAACTGGAGTGGCTATGGTTTGCGTCCTTGTAGGCTCAATGAGCGATCCCGAGGAAATTCAAGGATTAGCACACTTCACTGAACACATGTTGTTCATGGGCAGCAAGAAATACCCTATGGAGGGCGCCCTTAAGACGTTCGTGTACGCTCATGGAGGTTCATATAACGGCTTTACAAAGGATGACACGACATGCTATTACTTCACTGTTGAGGCTGATTATCTAGAGGGCGCAATGGATATTCTCAGTAATATGTTCAAAAGTCCACTTATACATCAGTCATCCTCAAACCGCGAAGTGCACGCTGTCGACACGGAATACAGACGAGAACTGAAGAGCGATCACTGGCGTAATCTTCAGTTAGACAAAGTGACTTCGGATCAATCGCACGATTACCACAAATTCAGCGTAGGCAACCAGCAGACCCTTCACAAAGGAGCCACGAGAATGAACTCGACCTTAGCTCATGAGGCGAGAAAATTCTTTGACAAATATTACTCTGCCGGTATCATGCACATAGGCATTCAGGGTAAGGAGTCATTGTCGCAGCTCAAGAAGATGGCCGTCTCAAAGTTCATCGATATTCCAGATAAGGGCGTTCCACCTGCAGCGTGGCACCAACATCCCTTCAAGCACAGCAATCGAATGATTATCAAACGAGTGTCCGATACGCCGGAGGCTCACAGTCTCAGTTTATCCTTCGCCCTGCACGACGTCAGCAAACAGCTCTATCCACTGAAATCGTTGCTCGAGCACAAGGATAAAGGCGGACTGCATCGTCTACTTATTAAGGAAGGCTGGATGCGAAGCAGTGGCTCATGGACGAAGTGCATTCGAGGCTTCTGTGTTTTCTACACATGGTTCGATCTGACTGATAAAGGCTTCAACCATTGGGAGGACGTTGTTAGCCATTTCTTTTCGTATATTGATTTTATTAGTTCAAATCCTCTGCCGGATTACTATTTACCTGAGTTGGAGCAGATTCTCAGAATTGATTATCGTTTCACCTCCTCGTTTTCTCTGATTACACAGGTACAATTAATCGAAAAGTACAACCTGTCCGATATCGCTTCGGCGCCTTACCTGCTAATCGACTATGAGCCTGAGTGGATGGGCGTCATACTCAAAAAGTTAACCCCAGATAATTTACGAATTCTTCTGACGTCGTCACGCTTCAACGGTACAACCGACAGGGTGGAACCACTCTATAACACTGCATTTTCGATCTCCGCTATCCCATCTGAGAATATTAGCTACTGGAAGAGAGCGAAGGACGGCCATGCTGACTTCCACTATCCAGAACAAAATCGCTGGATTCCAAGCAACTTCAGTATCCACAATCAAGACGTCAACTGGCACTCCACACCCACCTTATTGGTCGATGAAGATCATTTCCGACTTTGGTATTACCAAGACACAACATTTAATTCGCCGCGTTCCAAGGCTGAAGTCTATTTACGCACCAACGCCATACGTGAGGACAAAATTCGGACCGGGGTCGCTCTGATCGAAGACTGTTTCAAGCGAAGTATTGAGGAGGCCGCGTATGGACCCGCCGTTGGTGGTCTCGCGGCGTACTTCCAGAGTGACATAGGCGGCTTCCGGGTTACCGTGCAAGGATATAATGAACGTCTGCCAGAGTTGGCTCATCTCGTACTAAACAATTTCATGTCATTTAACCTCACCGAAGAGTGCTTTGCGCTGTCGAAAAAGTCTTGGCTGAAAAACCTCAAGGTATCAGAGCGCACAAGTTCCAGTGTACATAGCTTTATTCGAGGGCGTCTCATCTATCAAGGTCTAAGCAGAAGATGGCGCGAAAGGGAAACTGCTATGATTCACTGTACCTTAGAGGACGCTAAAAACCTTCTGAAGAAGATTCAGCAGAATCTTGCTGCCGAAGTTTATGTCTACGGGAATATTGTGAGCGCAGACGCTTATAGGGTCCTCAACTCGACAAAGGAACTAGTTATAGGTGAGTGCCGACCTACCCGCCGCATTAAAAGTTCATGTGTTGTCTCAGCAACAAATTGCTGGTGTCAGTAAAAACCAATGCTCTTGATGGATATACTGATATCGTGACGCCAGAGCTTAGGCCTACCATAGCCATGTTTCAAGTCTAGAATGCGGTTCGCGAACTTGATGAAAACAATAGTAAGAACAACGATTTTCTCAAAGGTAGCATCTCCTAGAAAATTAAAAGAAAATATCTCAGCCTCTTAAGCAGCCCTAATTCTGTATGAAAACTTTACATTCCAGTGCAACACGCACCAAGAGCAGTGAGGGAAGGGCAAGCGACAACAGGCCACAAATCGCGATTCTCAGTTAATATTATCACTATCATTATATTCCCGATAGATTTTTCATTTAACAAATAAATCATTGTGCCAGGGTATGTTTTGTGCTCAGCAGAAATAACGCAGCAAATCGAAGCAGGGCGTATAATATTAAACAAAAAAAATTCTGCCCAACGCAAAGCATCAACATGAGCTTCGCAGCGCATTTAAGTAACTACTTAAACAACTTCTTCATAAGACCTCAGATTGGATGAATCGCAGCACCTCGTGATATCTATCTACTGGTTTGTGCAGAATATCTTTAATATAGAATGCTTATTCGCCAATAACTAACCCACGATGGTGGTCGTAACAATATGTTATAGAACTTCCTCTTGGTTTCTTCAAGTTAACGTCAATTCGCATTTCATTATAACACAAAGCGCCTTTTTACGTATACGATCCCGGAAACTTGGTATATTAATAGACTGTTTAAAATTTAACTAGTTAAATTTAGCTCAGTCGGTGGAAAAGTATCTTCAGCAGGGCACGTATATTGAATAATTTTTATGCATTTTTTGACCAATACGCTTCACGAGAAAATATATGTCAAATCGTATCTCATTTATGTTATTAATGCCCCTATACGAGGCGGACTGTTGGCTAATTCTTCGTTACTATTCACAACAAATGTGAGCTCATCTTGCGGCCTGTGTAATCTAGTACACAGTATTTTGAATCCATTTTGAAGTTATATGAGGAGAATTACTGCAATGCTATCTATAACTTGCAATGCCCTCCCCAGTTAAGCAATAAGCAATTCAGATTTCAAAGCACACACACACCCTATACGAGTAAGGATAAGAAGGTCGTTTAGGCAGACTGTCGTTTAGGTAAGGTTTTAGGAGTAACAGCAAAAGATATTTTGTTTCATACTTTGTTGAGTTTATAGAATAACTTCATTATTCAAATGTGGAACTCAGCTGTAAGCGAAATTTTTACTCACACGCTACACGCTTCTGTACTGAACAGAGTAATCAGTTCGGGCATGACCGTGCATAACGATGTATGTAGAACTTTGATTGATGCTGATTTTGCATCGGTTTCTCGTCATTCACGCATCAGCGATGATTTCACATGCTATAAAAACTATACATTTGAAGATGCACATTACCATGCCCGGCCACCTGCTTCGTCTTATCCGAGCAGCACAACTATATGGATTAATCGAGGAACAATCCTGTGAAGACCTGATAAATTCTATCCGTTCTGATTGCTTGTCAGTCAGTAACTGTTCTTCAAGGGGGACAGATGTATACAATATTCCTAGCATCAAAATTCGCTAAGGAGTTGTTTTAATCCACTAATAGCGACTGCCTCTTGTTCTTGCGTATCTTTCATAATCAGTAAATAAAGCCGAAAACAAAAGCTGCTGACCTAACTATAATCAGGTCGCCGATACGGTTAAAATAATGACACAGTGGATGCGTGCACGTATCAACCAACTCTATATATATTATTGTCGCTATTTGACGATCACACGAGGCAATAGGGGCTGGGGCAAAAAAAATGTTCTCTCGATGATATCGTTATTATAACGCGGCTAAGACAACAATAATGAATCCGTTAATTAGCATTAATTGGAGATAATTAACGTGTCTGTTGATGATGTATACACATTCTGTTTTGTTTGTCGAATATAAAATTATCTATCTAATGTATCCACGTGATGATCTATTTTCTACCATCAGAAAGTCAAACCCGACTTGATGATATTAAGACCCTCGGCGAACACTCGCTCGAACGAGGAGTGCTGTACCGTTTCCAAGAACACTTCGAGGAGCAAACGCTCAATTCTGTATACATTTACTACGAGATGGGCCGCCGGGAAAGGACTCGCGATCTCGTGCTCACGGAGCTTTTCGTGCACGCGATTGCAGCAGAGACCTCGAATGTACTTCGGACCGCACAGCAGCTGGGTTACTCCGTTGGCGTACAACACGAACGTAGGAGCAAAACGCATGGTAAGAAGGCAAGATAACAGTCAATGCTAACTGTTTCTGTTACTTATTGTGATTAGAAATGAAAGGACATCCATTTGAAGGATTGGTGTAACGGTGTGCTTTATGTGAGCAGATTTAATGTTGGGAAGTCCATTTTGACACGTGGTATCGCTAAGTATACGCATTTGTGTGCGTAGGGTAGTGCGTATACTGAATCCAATTCCCCTTTGAGGAATGATGAAGAGGCTCGCATTGCACGCAAAGCAGCTAAATGGAATTAGATCAAGCTAAACGCGTGTGCAAGTTAGATATAAGTTCAAGGTAAACTGTACAGTGAATTATTTTTCTACAGTCAGCACAGGCCGGTCAGGGGGCCGAATTCTCATGTTTGTATCGTCCGAGTCTCTATGAGACGCTTTTTACGTAATGATGATCTCTAATTAGGCGTTCGCATGACAAACGAGCAGCATGACATTAAAATGTGTTATTATTTTATTATATTAAAAAAGGTATTATTGAAAAAGTCATTTTATTCTAAGCAAGCGCTATCTGTATTCGCTGCAACTTAAGTTGCTCAATTATTCTTAAGCATACGGAGGATCTGTTCTGCGTCTCAACGCTGACTATAACTATTGGCATAACTATAGTCCACTTGGAGACCGTAGACTGGGTTTAGGTTTATAGTAGGCCGCCATCTTTTATGTACAACAACGTAAAAAGAAAGCCAAGCATTGTGGAAATAACTAATTCGATTTCGATTGCTTAGACAAATATGTTTCAACCTATGATGCCAAATGTCGCCTGAACGGATCTTCCTGTATAAAACGCTTCGTGCCACAAGACAGCCTTGCACCATTAGGAGGAACTTTTCAAATTAGCAAGCGACATAGATTATCATACGCTATCGATATTCAGGAGATATAAAATCTACTGATAGTATTCGAGGTACCGGAGTATTCGAGTCGCATTGTTTGAGCCTTTATTGGGCGCGCGTCCTTTGAACAATGGACACACATTTGACCTAGGCATTTTCTTGTGTGGCATTTATTCATACTTTTAGGGGCCGTTCACTTTAATAAACGTATTATCTTACGGGCTAAGGAAAAGTTTTGTCAATCTCATATATTTTGGAGTCAAACATGCGGCGGGCAAATGACAGACCCAATAACTTTGATAGTAGATTGTAGATGTGAACGAAGTCCTGTCAAGACAAGCCAAATGAGAACGCATTGTTCACATTGGCCAGGGGCATCAATAATTCAGTCAGTCAGTTGAGGCTAGAGTATAGCAACACTATAGGTGCTGTACATTGTTCGTATTGCGAACAAAGGGGGACCCGCATCCTACTTCGCCATGAAACAAGTTATATAATATGTACCAAACGTAACATTTATTGATTTGCTATGGAGCTAACTTTGTTGCAAAAGCTAAAATCTCTTTGAGCCAGTACCTTGCCCGTGCAATAATTGTAGCGGTTTTCGAATACGCCTATGAGGAAAATAGGCGGAATGAGAGGTATATGCTGGCTCTGTGGCAACAAGTGCAATATAAGGACAATCGTAGTCTTGTATGACTAAATTATTTTTTTGCCGCATCGCCTTCGAACGGATCGTTCTGGTAGCTGGGTTGTAGTCCTCATCGATGTTATCCGCCTCACTTCACTCCGTTATACAGTTACATTGTATCGAGTGCCAGTGTTACACCGCTGATATACAACCACAGCGGCTAAATTTTCAGGCCCCGTCCTTGTAATGCTATCGATAGCCAGGAAAAGATGATACTTTTCTCGTCCCTATATCAGTGTTAGTGCTAGGCCTGGCTGATCGAGGCCTATAAGGCTAAAAGAAGTTTTGCTTTTTATCAGCTTTTCTGCAAATATGGACCGGACCGCTACCCTATGGTGTTGCGTCTTGTTTTTTTTTTCTGACACTCAATTAACGAGCGTCTCACACAGAAGAACAAGTGCCTTGATGCAGAACGATTTATGAAAGTATATATTTTTATCAAACTGGGAGGAGACCATGATAGATAGTTACATTAGTGTGAGCCGCTCGTCTGAATAAATATATTGCTCTCACTATCAAGATGCCTCGTATTCTCTTGGTAAATACACATTTGTTTTATTATAGCGTCTTAGAACGACAAGCAAACGAAGTAAAACCGATCGCTAAATATGCGCGTGTTTTTGCGTGATTGGCGGCCGCTAAAAGCGAAAGTAATAGCCGTACTACTTTCTTGTTGTGTTTCTTGGTGGGACAATTTATGAATGGCGACCTATCTGCATTTGTCCGTTAGGACGTGTCATGGACACGACGAATTGGCCGAGCTACACGGCCGCCAATGTGGGTATTGCATAGGCGGTTGTGAGTGACTGAATGAAGATGAATATACGTGACCCCTAATACTATTCCAAGTTTACATATCCACCCCCGTGTTTTCTGCCTATTCATCCCATACTAATTACCAGATCCTGGCGTCTACTAATTATAAAGAACGATGCTATATGCGCATAAAGACAACGATATCATTATTGCAATCGCAAATACAGTAACGTCTTCTAATACTGGTCATTGTCATAGTAATATCTATTAAAAAGCTATAGAATCATAATGGGCAAGATGACTGACTGACTCATGGTAGATGGACGAGAAGGGGTTTTGAGCAAAAGTAATGTTTAGGAACAATTAGAAAAAATCCTATAACTAACTGTTTAATACTTCAGCTAATATATCAAAACGACTATTGTGATGATATAGATTTATAAGTTGGTAAAAGTGTCTAGGCGAGTTTGTGTTTGTTTGCATCTATTCTGAGCGGGAGGATGGTCCTCAAAGGGAACGTTGGTAAGATGCTCGATACAAATCCCATGAGACGACGTATAGTGGAGAACTTTGCTACACAGTAGTAACAGCAGTCGGGTAGCTATTTAGATGCGCTAATGTCGAAGGTATAGAACAAGCAGCCACCTTCTGCAATGCTAACTACCGTTGTATAAGTCACCAGTGCGGAAACAGCACATAAATACATAGACTTACAACGTTGAGGCGACGAAGTAATACGTTATCAGCTGCAGTAGCAGCATCAGTAGTAGTATCATAACTACTCGTCACGCCGGCGCCGATATACGAGAACAAACGGTGATACGTAGAAGCTCTGCACATGCGGCAGCAGCGACTACGATCGTGTTGATCTTAATGCCGACGGCGACGAGGCTGATAAAAATGTTGTTGTCACTGATGATAATGATGATACAGATGGGTCTGTTGTCACGCGGCCGTCGTTTTCCTTGATGATGTCGGCTGACGGCGGCTGGTCCTGTCGCCAGCGCCGCTGCAGCTGCCACGAAATTGGTCAAGCCACGCGTCCCCTTCTACAGGCACAGAACTATAACCGATGTCGACCAGATGTCCCCCGTAATGAACCAAGAGAGGACGATGATGGTGATGGTTTTTGGCACAACAGCAACAACAAGTATTCCCGATGCCCCTCGATCCTCTGTACATCGACCGCAGTTCTAAAAGATGTACGATTTAAAGGCGCTTATCAAACGGCAGCTGCAGTTGTTGCTAATGTCGATGATAACAACTGCATGCGCTACCAATGTGGCCTCGTCTTTTTCTCGAAAAACAAAAACATTTTTCCAAATCTCGTTTTCGTCATTTGCTAATGGTTCATCGTCGCTATCACTAATTCGTTTGTTTTCATATCGTTCAGGTGTTACGGTATTCGTCGAATCGGCGTACAATACCTCTCTGATTGAAACTCGCATTCGAGATTTCATGACAACCCATGTCAGTACGTTCCTAAAGAACATGACAGAGGAGACATTCAGACAACATCTCACTGCGTTAATCACCAAAAAGCGGACAAAGCCGAAGAGCGTCTACGAGTCAGGAGATAGGTAAGTTGCAGGTTTACTCGTTTTCCTCGTCCAGGAACCCTAAATGAAAATAATTTCCTCACCATTGCGTGTCAACTCAGCCAATATAGGCTGATAAAGTAGGTGAATTCAGGCTAGATCAGATAAAGCTACAAGTTCGACATATACATTACAAAGTATTTGCATGCCAATGCTATTATTTTCATTAGTTGTTATGTAGATGTTTGTATTTCAAACATTCGTGCAATATCAAGACATACGCGATCAGGAACATTAGAGACGATAACAAAATCTATCCGCTATAATAAAAAGAAGCGAGAGGTAAGGTTTACTCACTAGCAGATAGTCAAGTTGAACGCTCATTAACGATGGCTTGCCGCCAAAAATGACGACTAATAATATTCCATTAACGCGTATTGGTCAGTTGCGCATCGCAAAATGACGTCTTGATTTTACTGTCGATGGATGTAATATATATATATATATATATATATATATATATATATATATATATAGTATACATTGAGCTCTAGCTAACTATACACTCGAAGAACGAAGTTTCCCTACGCTAACCTGCATATATGGGCAATAGGGTAATGAAGTTTTGCCAGTTCGCTGTCTATACAGTCACATTGAATCATTTCGGCCATATTCCAATGCAAAAAATGCCGTAACAAACCTCAACACTTACAAATTGACAGAGATGAAATTAGCGGGACCTCCTTTCTTCCTATGGTTGTAGAGCTTTGAGTAGTTAGGACGCTAGGACAAAGAAGTTATTTAGGCATTAAATAGCGTTCATTGTCAGCTATAAACGGCGTGCGTATGTCTCAGTGTCTGTCTGTTTTTCACGCCTCTAGCCGCCTGCCTGTATGTGGTTATGTTACAATACATTTTTTGTGTGACACCTCCCAGTTATTGTAGTGATGAATTTCATACGGTGTATAAACAATGACGCGACTGTCTATTGGTTGGTATAGTACGACAATGTAAACCGAAAACACCGTTGAGCCGACATACACATGCACGCGCGAGCATACGCAAATTTATAGTGAGCTTTGCGACGACTGGACCGAACCGAACAACCGCAGTCATTTCGTAGATATTACATAAATAGCGGCACTCAGATACATACGCTCGAGCGCAGGTAGACACATTCACATATCGACGAAACAATACGAATATAACAAACAGGCACAAAGCATATAAAAAAGCTTCAGAGGATTGACTCGAGATAGTGGTTCGATTAGCGTGATTGTGATGATCATGATGCTAGCAACAAGGTGCTGCAACGAGCGGGCAAGCATTGCATGGGGACAGCGGGCGAACGCGTACGAAGATGTATATATATATATATGTGTGTATATATATATATAGGAAACGAATGGAAAATTCCTTTTTATGCCAATACAGTACCGTATACTTATGTACAGTAAGTGCGCGTCAGTGTGTAGACAACGAGCAGGAAATGCCGAAGTAGCCGATCGAAACAGTTACTTAAACACGTCCGACATTCTAAGATGGCGGCGTCAGCGATATCAACAATCGCGTCGATGTAATGGCCATTGTCGGAATACACGAAGCAAGTACTCGTAACGTGCAATTAGCAGAGACAGGAAACTTGTGTATGCTATTATGGATATTATTGGTGGAAAAAGTTCTCGCTGGCATTGAACAAAAAGCGAAATCAATAAGTAGTGACCGTGTTTTAACGACTCTATAGCTTGTTTTTCTTCGCCATTTTCCAGAGAAATCATAAGAAAAAGGGCAAACTCGCAACTGAAAAAAATATTTGAAGGCTGTAGCCTCCATTAATCTTGCGCTAGACAATCTAAGCAACAGAAAACTAGTAAGATGGCCAACAACAAAAATGGCGGTACTTAACTAAATGATGAAAGCAAAAAATTGAGCAACAGTGATAAAAATAAACGCTGCAATCTCGCGCTTGTAGATTTGAACAGGACACAACAAAGAAAGGCCCCAAGAAGGGTCTTCAAGTTATTACTTAAACAGAAACTTCAGATCTAACGAACGTTTATAAAAATGCATATTAACTCAAACAATGAGACACTACCACTTACGAACAGCCCGCCATTTTCATGAATCAATCTACATCTGCATTGCGCAGTCACAATATGTTCATCCATGTGTTTACATTCGTAACAAAATCTCTTTCTTATTCATTCGATCTGGGTTTGAAAGCAAATCCTATGAAACCCTTAAAGGTAAATTACTATTATCCGTTTGAGTAATTAAATTGCTTTTAATAGACTTGAAGTTTTACAGGGAAGGTTTTTTAGCTTCGGATAAACTCAAGTTTTACCTGCTTACGCCATTTTATTATCTGGTTGAAGTAGTTTTAAACATTAAGCCAAAATGTCTATATTATTTCATTTAACATTTCGGTTCGATAGAGTGAATTATAATCTAGTATAAAATATAAGTGTCTGTACTGGAGATGTATTTCTTCGACGAATTCTAGGCTTGCACTGGACAAACGAGTTTTTCGTTGCCATGGTCGTTACCTCTGGTGGGAGATCTTCATAGCATCTATGTACGAATCGCTAAACAATAACTGATTGATTCTTTATGATGTTACATCAAATTTTGTGTTGATAGATTAGCGTGTTACTTAAACGTTATTGATCGATAGAATTAAGAAACTTGAAAGACATTGTTTTGAAACAAAAGGGAAGAAACGCCTGGTATTGCAAACGTGTACGCTTGCATCGAAGGAAAATAATCTCACTCACCTATTTGCATTATGCAATACACGAACATAGACGATTTGATAAAAACCAAACAATTCTAGCGGATTAGGTGAATACAGGGGGTGTCAGCTAACGCTACTGTCGTATTGACGCTTGTCTACTCCGGTGGTCTGGTACCTTTTCAGTCTCAAAAGCATCGTACAATACAATTACGGCAAATGTAACTCGCTTCGAAGAACTCGGATCTGTATGTGTTTAATGACTTGTCGTATTCCTACATGGCCATTTTTAAAGATGGGCAATTTTTTCTGCTATGCTCATTTTCGTACATATTCGAAGCTGCTGTTTTAGCGAATAACAGGGGATGTAAGCAGTAAAAACAAGAAATCCACGAAGAGACTATTGTGTGTATACTTCGAAGCAAATGACAATCGAAATGCCAAGGTCGAAGTGTCGGCGAACTTGAAATCGGGCCAACGTCGTAACGTTCGCAGTTTCTCAGAGGAGACATTTGCGACGTCCTACATAGCACGTGAATGACGACCTTTAGCACAAGTCAATGTTTATTCTTCGTACATATTACAGTTCTTGACGCCTTCGAGAATTACAAATTACATATCGCTCGCTCTTCTGCATATCTTTCATATGTTTGTTAGTTTTATATTGGTTTCTTTAAGAGAAATTTAGGAGAGACAAGACATCTGTCTGCTGTATACTCATGGATGAACTGTGATGAATTATGCACAAGGTGATGTTTTTTTTCCTTTAACTGTTAAAAGTAAAGCAATTAACTTTATCTACTAACCTGCCCTGATGAAGATTTCCTACTTCATTTCTTACACTCATGTAAAACTAATTGGCAGCTATCGTTTTGCGGCTCGTAGCCGATTTCGTTCCCGCATTGAACGCAATCTTCTCAACGCTCTCCTAAACGCATGTAGGATAAATTTCTGCCTATTCCAATTGGAAGATGTGCCATTAAAACACAATCTTCAATTCAACATATTACTGCCTGCTTCTATAGGCCTGAAACTATCTGTTTAGGCATCTATTGAACCAAATTCGTTTGACACGTTTGCTTCATGATGTTCTCATAATTAGCCAGAATTTCATATGGTCTCGGCAAGCGCCTACCTATTTAAACTAAATATTGCATATTTAAATATTCCAACAAATGGGTGACGTCGCGGCGTTGAACGGTAGTGCTGTAAAATAATCTTATGAATATTGTGTTTGAATTATCTTCATCGTGACGCATATTGCAGATATTGAAGTTACATTGCGGTAGATAATGATTCGGCAGCTGATGAGAGAACTCCGAAATAAATGCTGCTTGTAGAGCAGAAAACAGTGTTTACAGACAGGCAGAATAGATTTTAAGGTTTAGTTAAACTACTTTAATATGCGTCAATATGAAAATTACGTGCGCTCGTCATTGATCCTTTCTGGCATTTGATACGAGTGAAGCCGCAAACGCCGAGAGCGCCGGCTTCAACAGGCCACTGAAATTCACGCTTAAGCGTCTGACATTTAAAATGAAAACATAATATCAACAAACTTATTCACTTGCGATACAAAGTATTTGGCTAATTCTTTCGGAAGTTCTACCTAATGAATTATATCAAAGATGCTTAGCAACATGCCTGTATGCCATATATATATGTATGTAGATCGTCGTTTCTGCATAAACATTCGCTTTCATAAAATGTTTTTATTACTTTCCGCTTTTGTTGACGAGGACTTACGTTTACTAGGACATACAAGGTATGCTGTAGAGCATGTGGCCTGTAACATTTCGTTGCTCCAGATATACATTGAAGATATAGCGTTACAGACATGACGATCGAATAAGACATATATCTCTATTCGAATAAAGTCGTCGGTGAAATGTCGATAGCAAAAGTAGAAAGTTAACTAAATTTGGGATGGGCGCATCAGCTCAAAGTTGGCCTCGGACTTAGCTATTTGAGTAGGCTGGACTTTTCTTGCAACACATAGAAACTTCTTATGTGCGATACAAGTTGCAGTTATCTCACAGTCGTTATGGTTACACTTTCTTAGACTGCGGCCTCTCTGCATATCAGCTGAATATTTAAAACAGCATGCCTGTTTCATTGAAATCATTAAATGATAACCGTGTTATCTTCATTAAATACTTAATGAAAGTCTTATCTCGTCGTTTTCGTAACTCGTATTGAACCTAACTTAGGCTGCATTGCTTTATCAAGGTGAATACTCGTATTTATTACTTAGCAGTTGATACCGCACAATACGAGCGCTGTTAAACATCAATGCAACAGGATTAATACTGTTTTATTCGAAAATCAGTGTAGTTTTTATGTAATTTGTATGACTTTCATTCCCGTCCGTACTTTTTTATCGATTCAACTGATGTTAACTCAATACCCTAACTATGCCTATAAGTGATCATTAGTCTGCCCATGCAGGTCTACAGTCTAAACGTGGGGCTGTATTATTGTACCTGAGCGTACAATCGGTAGCTGTTCTCTGCATTGAAAGATACTCTCTTCGGTACAATTCCAAACGATTGAGTTCATTCTGCTTGTGCAATAAAACTTTAGTTCGTATATTGCACAATAAATATCCCATTGTTAAAGTACAGTATACGTCTTACGAGGCGAAGACCTTTACGAAACTAAGTTATGTTGAAGTAACTCATTGTTTCAAGTTAAACAGCCCCACGGAAAATCCAAACGCTGCTAGCTAGCAATAGGATGATCCATAAATGTTACTACAGGCCCACGCAGATCTACAGGTGTGCGGATCGTTCAGTTGGGTTACATTGCTGCAAGCTAATAGAAATAGTTTACAGGGGCGCTAAGTTATATACGAGTAACCTTTATATCTTGGGTTGACTGAAATCCATGACATCTAACCGATATCACAATGAATTTTAAATTGCGATAGGAGGACAAAGTAATTCTGATAAGCTATTTCGATTCTTATCTTTACAGGTATACCAACGAGATCTTTGAGGGCAGCTTGCTATTCAATCGAACGGAGATGGAAGCCATTGCCGCGAGTGTTCTAACTAAAACAGACCTGATAACCATGCACCGGCGATATATCGCAAGCCCAAATAGAGCAAAGATGCTAATCACGCTCGTAGGCAGTGGACCGGAACATGAATCAGACGGAACTGTTGAGGCAGTGCACAGTAGCAGCGGCGAGCGAATAACGTACGCGAGCATTGATGAATACAAAAAGAGGTTATCGCTCATCGAGTTTTAAGGACAAGAACGAAAGAGTCGGTGGGGCACGGATGGAATGGAGCAAATGTAAAAATCTCTGCGGTTGCAACCCTGGCAGACGCGCAATGGCCGCCGTGCGCGCCGCGTTTGCGTATAGTGTGATACAGGTATGGACATGCACTAAGCTGAACTATAGTTTGAAAGCCCGAATTATTTGGTGAAACAGTCTTGAACTAATTATGTAGATAACGTTGAAACGCCATTCAAGAGCTACAACAGAGTAGTGCAGGATCAGAATAATCATTGCGGGTGTAAAAAATGTGTAAGAAAACGACCTTCGTTCAGATCGCTACTCGAATTAATGATCAGACACCTGTATGTGTACGTATGATAGGCACAGCTAATGTTGAGAACCGTATAGGGTAATACTTATAATTTATGAGTTCCATCGCTGTGGAAATATACGTGCGTTATGTCAAACTTGTATTTAATTTGCTTCGTTAGGCATAACAGGCAGCCGAATGCGTCTGACAATTGACGTATGGAGCCTTTGTACAGGTTTTTTACCAATCGCCTATTTCTAAGAATTTTTTATTATTTTCGAAGAAGAATTCTATTTTCTTTCTAAGAAGAACATTATCTGAAACTGACCACTTCTGATAACGACACGTCTTCTCCCTCACGTGCACGAACCTTCATCATTGCAAAACATAGTCATCCAGAAGGATTACCAATCTATTCGTCGTATTGGCCCGTCATGCAAATCAACGTATCCATAAATTTAAACGTACTTTCTCATGTCACCAATTCAACCAAAGTAGTACTCCAAGCTTTTACATATTCGGCACAAAAATAATCTATTTGCATCGGTCGTCTGTGTTTTTGACAGCCCCAATAAGAAATTTTATATGATGAACTACTGAACGAGAAAATGCTATTTCAAAATGTCGTCACTCATATGTGCCCTATGTGTAATTGCGAGACGCAACCGCTGGTCGCTATTTCTACTGCCACCCTGTGTGGGGCTTCTATCATTAATGCCTTCAAAACAAATTTTCTTCAGCAGTTGCAAACAAACCAGAACACAGAGATGAATTAGATTTGTTTAAATGCTGGGGCTATATGCTGCGTGCTACTTATTAGAAAGTAATCTTCTCCATTCAGACAGATTGTCTAGTACATATCATCCATATTTGGCTGATGCGCGATCATCAACCTAGCGCAAAACATTATCCCTATATTATATACCTGATAATCCCTACGGCCATGATCGAATATCGTGTTATTGCAGTTAACGTAATGTTGTTAAAATGTTATAGAACCGCTGTAAATATCTGTGGACGCTGTTATTGCCTGTACAGCCTTTCGTTGTGATGACTGGTGACAGCGATTGCTGCATGTTGTCAACTTTTACCATCATCGAGGCTATCATGGTTACCCTACCCCCACTCCATCCTCCTAAAGAAACCGCAGGAGCCTCCTTTGCCCCAACAGCAACTGCTGACTGGCCCGCTACCAATGCTGAAGCCTGTGGCCTCATTGTAGAACTGGTTTACGCTGTCCCCCCACCTATTTTGCTAACCAAAAAACAGCTGTAAGCAACTGTTGTTTATTCACCGCTTGTCAAGCTGATAACGTCCGCTATCGTTATCTTTTTGCTACTGCTCGTCGTATTGGTGGCGCTCAAGACGTGTGTTGTTGTCGTCCTGGTAAAAGCCTCAGGCGCGAAGTTCTTCATTGTATTTTCTGTACGGCCTTTTGGTTGCCTGCTAATGCGTGCCTGTCTCTGTGTGCGTTTCCGTGGCTGACTGACAACTTCAGAGGCCCCGGCAGTGGCGATGTTTGTTGCTACTTGACTTTTTATCAACGACAAACCAACAAATGTCGACCGGCAACTGTCGCTAACTGCTGACTATCAAGCGGCTACCAACTAACGCTGACTGCTCAACACTGTATTCTAGGGGTTTAGTGCTGGTCGGTGACTGGTTTCTTTTCAAAACAGCGACCCCAGCGTCAGCTAAATTGTTGCTATGCACTTTGTTATTGTTAACAAATAAAGAAGTTAAGCGATTCAGTTTTTTAATGAAAATAGCGCTAAAAACTATATAGATTAGGTACAGCCACCGAGAACAACCATCAGAAAGAAAAGTAAAAACTGGGCTGGAAAAGCACGCGCGAATTCTGTTTTAATACTTGATTTCTAGTGATTATGTTACAATTTTGTTGTTACGCTGATAAACAACAAGGGCCGCGATATCGTAACACCGCTTCTAATTAACGTCATTCGGTAGTTCATAGTTCGCATGGTTCTACTGCACGTTGAGCCACAAATATTGGCGCAACTATGAATTTTGAACAGCCTAGTTAACAGTGCAGTTACTGTGAGTATTACGAATTAGCGCAAAATGTCGGACATTTCTAGAAAGGCAGACTTTTTTGACCTCTCCTGACGAGCTATCTTCGTGAACCAGATACGTTTTCAAAAAATAGAGCATTAATACATGTCGTATTTTCCAAAACAAGGGAAAGCACTTGATAAGTAGTTGTTAACAGCATCATAACTGAGGTGCGGTAAACTTATTATGCACTGCACAAGAAAACGTTTGTAGAGTAAACTTTATAATTATAATTGATAGGAGGCTAGTTGCCACCTGCTTGTGCGCTTGTCCTTCCTATTATGTACACTCTTCCCTGTGAAAAAGAGTCTGCCATAGTTCAAAGTTAACAAATTCTCATATATATATATATATATATATATATTAATAAAACTGCGTCGCATCGTCGCAGAATTTACTGCGGTCCATCGCAACCGTTTACCATCAGATGAATCACTGAGGCAGTGCAATGATTATAAACCATAGGATTGCAAGTTTGCTATGTCGAAAGTAGAGGCTGCACTCATCTAACTGTAGCACTATAAAACTATCGAGACTATTGAACACTTTTATTCCACTTAGGAGCTTACTCTAATGTAGAAATGATCTACACAGACTCGCTGACATGATGCAGGTCAGTATCCTGTCAAGCCACTCCACGCCATCCGGGACCGCGTAGATTAATGTGATCAGGTAACCCTGGCGGACGAACGCCGCCTACAGCAAAGAGTGAATAGGAATCAGAGGATTACTGTACGAGAGCTGGATGTTATTCATATCAAGATATCGAATACAAACGATTGGGTAACAAGCAATAGCTCCATCTCCGTTAGACCTTGAGGGGATGGCATTAACAGAAGTAAGGTTTTGCTTTTTTGGGTAGGCACAGTTTATTTGATGACAGAATGTAACCTCGCTAGACGTTATGACTTGATTATGGTAGGCTGTTTGCTTATTCATCACGGGTTATCTAGCACACGAAGCGTGAACGGCATACGTAAACAATATAGCATTGTATGGCTTTCCTCTTACAGTGGCAGCAGCGAACAACACAATGGTACAATCCTATGTCTTGAAATATTAAGTCATGGATAAACGTGACACTTAACTTGACATTTATTGGTCTTGCGTTGACCTAGTGGAAATGGTGTCTGTTTTTTTCAAATAAATCAGACCGTGTGATAATTTTGTCTGCCGAATACCGTTTTGTGATATAAATCGTAATTAGGTTATCTGATAGAAACAAAAAGACGAATGAAACAGAAGAAATCATTATATACAGGCCTTATTGCAGGTAGGTCTCAATGGGCAAACATTTCCATACATAGACATTTTAACTGACCCGCAATTCACTTCACTACAGGCATTTCAAAAGGTCTTTTAACTCTAGCCCTGGGTAAGCCCCGAAATGGCAAATTTTTAGTGCAGAGTCTTTCTCTAGATACGTAGCCCCACTTCTGTAATGGATTCGATTGGGCTAAAAGATATTCGCTGCTATCTTATACCATGAGGCGTGTCAACAAGGAACCAATTACGATCCACTTGACCAAGAAATACATTTTGGCATTAAAAATACTTGTACTTTTTTTTTGATCGCGTGTTGACGTGCAACTTTGCAGTACGATAACTGAGATAAAATGCATGCCCCATTTCAGAAGACGCTTTGGTCAAAATTAACGCAATCTTTCTGGTTCACACTGGAGAAACATCGAGCCCTAAAATTACAATACTAGCTAACGTGCAGCCGTTGTAAGATAGCTGACGATGTTAACGAAGATAGCTTCGTTAGTTTTACTTTGAGCGCTGCTCGGGGTTGAGAAGCCAAAAATCCTGAGTTTATGGCAAGTACTGCCTATCGACATCAATAAAAATCTGCTACAACGACCAGATATAGTGATTAAAAATCGCTAACTACCTTTCTTGTTTACCTCATATATGTTTAGCTTATAAGATGCAAGTTTTATTAAGAGTCAATAACACAATCGTATTTCAGTGATTCGGCGCCGCAGAATGCATTTAGACAAGTTAGTTAATATAAATTACGAAAATTGAATTGGTTGATTATTTATCTATCGCGGCGTGCGTTTGTAGCGAAAAGCCGCTTTGGGCAAATATCGTCCGACAGCATTTTTAGTTATGCAGCGGATTTGGACATGAAAAATTTAGCTTAAACATTCTCGCATCTATACATATAAGCCCTTGATAGAGGCATCAGTGGTTCATCACTACGATCATAAGATGCACCTAGTAACGGTGGTTGTCAGTAATGCGTTGTTGTATCAAATACGACAGTATTTGATTTGATTTTAATTGCTACTGTCGGGAATTCTAGCTACGTAGTACATACAAGCACTGCTATATATATCACCACCTGGAAAACTATATATTTGTGTATATATAGTACGGCCAATCGCTGATTCGTTTGACGCTAGCTAACGTCCGCAACAGCACTTACGCAGTGAAGCGATGGCCAATAAACGCTTGATCTGAATGCTGTATGGATTTGCTAAAAGTCATGGCATTTCATGGGTAACAGTACGTTACCGAAGGGTCGAGGGTCGTCGTTACCCTCATACTGTAGTATAACAGTTTGCCTCAGTGCAGCTATAGCCGCCGCCGCCGCCGCTGCAACAATCGAATGGGAATACGAGGGGCAACGAACGAACCATACATCTTCCTCCCGCGGCTTCATATACATAAATGTATACGCCGTATGTGTATATAAGTGCCGCTTCGCGATATGCGATACCTGAGGCGGTTTGACAGGTCTGTCCTATGTAGCAACACTGTAAAAGAAAGCGACTAATCATACACCAGTGCCATTAGAGATATTAATAGTTAACTGTTATCTTTACAACTAGTTTGGTGAAAAATAACAGGCGGTCATGATCCCTAACGGGCTGCTGTGCCTAGTGATGATAACAAGCACTTAGGTAGTGATTAAAAATGAAACACAAAGATCGCACGTTTTATCGTATCACTGGTTTGGCAACTAAGAAAAAGTGAACCTGACTGAAGCCACGATCTCGAAACAAGCAAATAATGAAGGTCAACAAATATAAATTGATGAAAATAATATTTGGAAATGCCAGTCTTATTTTGTTTTGAAGAGGTGTCGGGCCTTGCATGGACAGGACGTTTTATAACGATGATCCTTTCGGCGAGGAATACGGTAACGGTTGTGGTGGTCACAAGGAAAGACGAAGTAGTATTTAGGTAGCAATGGAGTTGAACCCACTACGTGTAGACTAGTTATTTACCGCAGATAGATATGCGCTTCTAACTGTTCGAGATTAAGCTGTTCATACCATGTACCGCCGTCGGTATTGTGCTTGATGTTTATACTGTCTAAAGGAAAAAGTCCTAGAAGCGTGTCTTCGCGTCATGTGCTGTTGCTGCTGCTGCTGCTGCTGTAATCGCGTATCCGTTTCAGGCATCTTCGACGCGACGGCACGATTTCACCTCTAATGGACGGCTCTGCCGAACTACCTCCTTTTCACTCATCTCTTTAAATAAAAGTTTACGGACATTTGTGATGTCAATTGCATAGTCGTAATAGCGACTTTCATCGGGCAGCGTTTGTTGGGGAACCAACTTTCGGCGGTTGTATAATAGATGTATTCGTTTGTGGTTTTTTCGTTGGCTCGTCGACTGTTTGAACAACTGTTATGTCGATAGGTTGCTGGCGCCCCAGTCTCTTTTCGGCAGCGGCGGCGTCCGCGGCAGCGACGACGTAAATGTCGTCGTCGTCATGGCGATTTGTATTAGTTCCCCCGCCTCCCCGTCCACAGCCCCCTGTTCTTCTTTCTCGCATTTCTTCTCCTATGCGAAATCAGCAAACAACGGTAGGCCCACCCGCCTGTTCGCCGCCCGCGCGGGCGTCACCGTCAGCTATCGACCCTGTTGCGCTGCCACTTCCTGCCATTTTACCCATCCAAACCCACAACGATAACGACGACTCAACACCTATCACTAACTTTTGAACATTTTCTCCTTTCTATAATGGTGATAACGCCAGTGGTAAGATCAGCGACCACAACAATGATGACGACGACAAACGCAACGCCGCTGCCAGCGACGGAAGCGCTAACAACAATAGTTGTAAGTGCGAGGGTAGAGGGGAAAATATACTGGCACTTCGTAGCGCATGCTATTGAACAATAGTTACTGTTGCTACGACAAGTAGGTGGCAGTTTGGGGCAATGACGGCTACCGGGGCACTCCGGTCGACTAAGGAGGACCAAATATCTACAGGAAGAAATTAATATCTGATTCACAAGAAACATGGAGATACACTCCGTGTGGGACACAGCGCATTTATTGCGGTAGAAAACCTGATGGTTGACCCCTAGACATTCAATCTGATAAGCACTTGCCTTTCTCACCCACCAACCCATAGTTCTGTTAGAAGAAGACCCGAGGTACCGGAGTGAAACATAAAGGGGAAGCTGAGAATTGGTTCGTAGTGGTCTCGATGGAGCCCAGCCGTTTGGGCAAAATTTCACGTTCGGCTACCGTAAAATGGGCTCTGCTCTGGTTGTAAACGGTATTACTCAAATCCTTTTAAAAAGAAAACAGTCACTACGTAGGCAGGTACTAACGTGCTAACGTCTACGTATTATCGATCTGAGTGGGTATTGCCTGTGTACTAATGTGTGAGAGAATCGGCAGTATTGTCATTTCAATTGTACGATTCAATTGCTACTCAGATGTCGTTGCCACAAACATGCTGATAGGTTCAAGAGGAAAGTGAGCTCTACATAAGGCATTCGTCCACAGGCACGCGCAACTTCACGCACATATACAAACCCATTTAAGCTACAGATATTACGTAGTACATTTTTGTACTGCGAAAGTAGCGGTCGCGGCGGCGGTGGCGGCAGCATTAACAGACCCAGGTATCGTTTTTGAGCTATGGATAGTAATCATAATTGGGATGCTAATGGTCGTGATGAACATGATGTTTCGGATCGCAAAGAAGTAAAAGCACGGCGTGTAACGGTCTTCAAAATGAATGACAATGCCATGTGAGACAATGATGTGACGAGTCAACAACGATAGTTATCTCCCACCTGCAGCGGCCAAAACAACAGCGGCAGCAGCAACAAAAACTGCAAATGGATACAGACAGACGATGACACTGTGTTGTTATTGTTGTGGTTGTTGTCGCTACTGCTGCTGCTGCTGCTGCCACCTGGTGTTTGTCACAGAGTTGGCGCTCGGCTGTGACGCAGCAGACTAACCAAAGGTGAACTTGTGAGCGATTCGATGCGCGCACGCCGTGCGTAACTGGCAAACGAGCTTTACGAATGTAGCTATTGCATGAAACCAAATGCCAACTGGACACATATGTGAACACGCATGGCCAGCTGTCCAAACGGACACGGCCACATAGATAAATAATGGCAAGCACACACAGGCGCTTCGGCTGCTAATGCGATGATTGCTGTGCGGCTATCAGTATCCCTGCAACGAAAAGAGAGAGCAAGCCATAAACTGGAATAGGTAGAAGAAACAGGGTTCGAATGTTGAAAAATCTTGCACTTTGGTCTGTGAAACGTCACTGCTTGTCATCAAGGCCCTTGGTGACCGTTTCGATACTATCGCTGCTGAAGCGGACAGGTAAGGTACAACGAAATGAAATTAGCAGTGAAACGGGACCGATCGTACTGAAAGATTTAGGTTTTTCTTTTCAATCCGTTCCCCGCTTTGGATACTTCAAAGGCTATAATGAAGACAAAAGTGAAATGTTAATACATTATACATATATGCAAATAAACGTAAGGGTCGCGCATTTATTTGTTTTTATTATAGCATCGAGGAAACGCTATCTGCCTATTTAGACTTCTTCAAGCTTCAAACAAATCTGCAGTCTATAAATAGTAAAAAAAAAATGTTCAGAACTAACTGGTAATAGTTTTATTATATGACTGTATACCTTTAAAATCTAAAAGCTTACATGCAATTCTCGCAAGAGATAATATAAAGAGACGGCAGCCTTGATATTTCATACAACATAAGCGCTCTCCAACTAAAATGTTAAGGCTTGATTCTTGAAAGCGAGCAGTAAACATACTGGACTTTGCTATTCTTTTGATAGGTCATGTCGGGCAATTGTCGATGAAAAATAGAATAAAAATCTTTGGGAGAAAAGAGGACATTTTTAAAATGTGTTGTTATTTCTTTGGTATCAACGCTGCCGGTACGGAACAAAGAAGTAGGTCAGACATCCTCTGCAAGACCTTAGCTGATCGAAAAAAGGCAAGCCTAAATGAGAGATACGTAACCTATAAGCACCTGTATCATTCACTTTCCGTTTTTCAGGTCAGCTCATCGAATATAGCTGTGATGGTTTTAATGGAACTAGCAAGAATGAAGTACTCGGCAAGAGAGGGCGCCCAGGCTTACCTGCATGTATACATGAATCACATTAATCCAATGTTAGTCATACGATTGGGTCACACAAACTTCATCTATAAAGTCTCAGATAAAAGCCTCACCAATTGTTAGGTATTGTTGATCGACAAAACCTGCTATCTTCTCATAACCTTAACAGCAACATCATATTTAAATTGATTTTGTTGTAATAAAAGTTGACAAGAAAGACATACTGGCAACAAGTTTTTCAGTACAACTACGGATCAACTAATCAGCTGGAAGTGGATCGTGAATTTGTCGAATAAATTATTGTAGTTGACCTGTTCAGGTTGGATTAGATTAACTTTCCACTTCTGGAGATTATTCATTATATGTGGTAACTGCGTCAATGAACACAAATATACTTCGGCTAAAATTCTGAAACGTATCGGAAAAGGCTGTTGTGGCTTAGCTACCAGTTCTAGTATTCGACAAACGTTTAGCCTGTAATGTTTGGGTGAGTTTTTTCTCGTTTACAGCTCGTAACGCTTCTAGTATTCTTTTTTCTAGCCGGTCGATGGCAAGTTTGCTTGGATGGAAGAGGCAAGTCAGTCAGACGCCACATCTCGGAAGCGAATAAGCACCTATTTCTCTTTATATGTTGTCAAGTATACAGCTTTTACCCGCCTGCAATATATTATCCGGTCTAGGTGGGCGGCTGTTGACGCAAACAGATAAAAGAACATTCGTGATAACAGACAACATTGGCTATATAGCAACGCTACACAGGACCGGCCTTTATTGTAACGGTGATTATGATTATAATTACGTTGAAGATTAGGCAGAGAAGCTAGAACTTGTTCGATTACATTTTTTTTAATTTTCGTATTAATAATACATTGAAGTGAATTATACAAAAAAAATCTATAGATTGCTTGTTTGTTATTCTCGTTCAACTCGCCATGACAACACGCGTTGCCAGGCAAATTGCAACTCTATTCTAGAAGTTTGATCGATATCAGCATGTCGTCAAAGTAACCATCGATGGTAAGTGTTTCCTATAGAGGTGGTCGTAGGTAAAAGGAACGCATGGATTCGATAACCACGAACAACCTCGAATGACGAACGTTTGTGAAAAATAGATCGACTGAAGAGAAAAAGAGAGAGAGAAAGAGAGGAGATCGGCCATTTTGCATACGGGTAAGAATTACATCTATATCATTATTTCACCTACATTTGACATCTGAGTTTTGATGCCTACAATGATTTTTACTACTTATATATACGCAACCGACTTGAAAAATTATTGTTTAATCCTCATCAAGATAATCTATATCGCGACTGTTGTCGTTATACTATATGTTATAATATTATTAATGTAGATATGAGAATTAATTGCAGGTTCTGTATTTGATCAAGTAACATAGCATATAATAACAAGCTGCAGTATTTTGTACGTGGACTCTATCTGTCTGTTGTTGTGGACCATACTGTTACAGCCGCATGGTCTGTGTACCAATCATAAATTTATAATAGGTTAACCAATACGTTATAGATCGATGAAATAATCAGATAAGATACACCGCACATCTACGTGCAATGGCCACTGGTCCAGGAATCGCCATGTTATCAGTAGCTTTGGATAGTGATGGGGGTGTACGGTCAGTTTAGGTATTTTGCCATTCAGAGGAAGATAAAGGAACACTGGTGGTATTGAGACAATTCACTGTGACATATCACAAAGGCAGAAAGCGAAAATTTATAAATGTTTATTAGGTAAGGAAACCTCTTCGTAGAATGAAAACGGCTGAATGAACGAACGGGAAACGAAATGCTACCACTGGATTTGTGACGAACGTATTGAACGTAGCTTGGTGTACTAGAGCTCAAACGTCGCTTTTGATTGAAGCAGCAACGCACGCAATAGGAACAAGAAGCTACCTACAAACGAGGCGGAAGCTGGTCAAGAAAGCCACATTGCTATAAGAATGGCAGTTTTATGATTTTCCAGTTAGCTTTTTCTCTGTGTGCTGAAAATATTTTCACTTGAACAGACGCTCTAGGCCTAACGAATATGAAGTAGTACCACATCGCTAGTACACGGACCTTTTCTGTAAAACGACAACGACAGCTACACTTGTCTCCACATACGTAGGTTTCTTTGCATCATTATATATATATATATATATACAAAATCGTCTACACAAACTACACACCGGAGAAAAGCGCATATTCATGTAGAACATATTTTTTGGCACACTAGATTTGTATGACAATATGTAATTAGTCGTATGATTCTAAGTATCCAACCATGCAACAAAAACGTATAACATCTGCCTTCTTTTAACCCTGCTGTCAAAATGTGGACCACTGAATACATTGTTAAATATGAATTGAAGCGGTAATGTTGTGTAATTATGCATATTAAAAAGAACAGGGTTAAAACTGTGGGTGCAATAGGTGCGAAGTTAGGATGGAAATAAATAAATGATTTGAGAATGGTGACTTACGTTTGTTGTTATTTCAAGGTTTCTATGCCTAGTAGTAGACATATCCTATTGAAAACACAAGAGTATCAAAAGCGTACATAAACAACTGATTTCAACAATTTTTTGGATGGTCATAAGGCGTGCTTGTAAAATACGTCACTTCATATCCGAAGAATTATTGTTCAAAATCTCAGCATCGTAATTCGAAATTCGTAAACTGCCAGGTAAAGGACTTTTCGTGAGCACTTTCTAATGCGTGTTAGTGTTTAGTGTCTTAGTCCTATTTAAAACACAACTTTTTGTCGTTAAATGTTGAACCTCGATACTTTCGATCATATACAAATGCAAACACTGAGTGATAATAATTCGCTTAGCTACGCGTGCTCGCCAGGTAGAAACTGAACTCGTTCAGTTCCCTTTCAAGCGCCTCGTGTTGATCTCTGATTAAAATCGAACCGCTCACAAACGAATCGAGTTAAACCAGTGGAGTGCTTTTCCCATTATAGCTTCACTACTTCGATGGCACTAGTACGAAGCCTATCGGTGGTCATGGCTATAAATTACTGTAATTCATAGGTATATCCGTAAAAATTATTGAAAAACATGGAGCCATTTTTAGAGTAGCGAAAGAAAAGCTTTTTGTTTATGGCCGTAAACAAAGTAAAGTTGGCGACGCAGAGTGTCCCTTTGGATAAAAGTGTTGAAGCGGCGTTGTATGGTCGCCTCGACGTCGCCGTTCGCTATACGTTATCAGATTAGATGCGAAAATATGTCACTAATCCTCGATCTGCAACAAAAATACGTAGCTTCTTTTCTGCGTAACGTCCTTGGCAAACTATAACAGGTCACTTTATGTACGGAAGAGAACGATAAATTAGAAGCACTTATTCTTATCATGTTCACGCACGTCCTAGAAAAAGCAATTGGCTAGAAGGTATATTTCATCAAAAACTGGTAAATCTCATTTATCGGCTGAGCAAAGATAAGAAATACATATATATATAGCCTTTTTCCAAAATTAAAGATTTACCCAATCTACTTGCAACATAGACAAGACACTGTTACGATTTATTAACCTTTTGTAATTACTGTCAACTGATTTAGAAGAAAAGCTTGCGTACGGGCACAAACACCAAACGATTACCATACTGAATGTCATGCATAAACTTCGGTATTGTCGTCTGATAACCATTCACGTAAAATATAGGCCGTATGGATGTCACTGGAACGACAACGTTCGCTTATGGCCAACTTGATCAAGCACACGAAATAAACAAGGTTAAATTGGAAACAGAGACAGAACGAATACATTTATTTACCTCTTATTATTATCTAGTTAAATTTTTTACAATGGTGATGATGATAGCAATTATTACAACATTGAGCTGACGCGACAGAAGCAATCCAGCGGCCGACTCAAAGCTATAATACCGTTGGTTTAAGCGATCAAGTTGGCCATCAGGAAACACACGGTCAACCTCAGGCTACAATTTTGGCTGCCATTGTTTTGCGCCCTCATATCACTGCTGCCATAGATGGCGCAAAGGAGTCATCAGAGTTTGGCGGGCGCCTTATGATGAGTGTTTTCCATGTGCCAGCACCACTATTATATGTCCAAATCATCGAATCCGTGACGTCAGCCATCTTTCAATAATGATAGCAATGGCAATATCACTAATGATTAACGTAGTAGATGCCTCAAGCAACGATCGTAGTAATAACACTTTTGGTGTCGGTCTGTCATACTTTTCCGGAGCTCACATAAAATACTCGCAAAAATAATATGTATACCTATAAGTACGTACATACGTAAGTATATGCAGTATAGGATCGTCATTATCTGTCGCGTATTTCAGCGAATACTGCGAAGTGCGCCTTTGATCCACCCCAAGACCATGAGAAGTAGAGTATCATGGCGCAGAATACATGTAGAACGCTGTTGTTCTGGACAATTAAATTGTTCCGAAAAGTGATTTTAACGTCAGTTCCATCTTAGAGCTTCGTTAAACACGGTCAGTCATCGAAGTAGCTGTTTTGGATGGCGATTTAACTAATGCAAATGGGGAATAGATGTAAAGCGGGTCTTATAGACATGCCGACGTTGTCCAAAAGTCAGCAATAAGCATCCAAGTAGATGTTTGCAACTAACGTTATAAACAGGTTAACTACATAATAGGCACATTGTTCTTATTAACTGTATTATATATCTTATAAAGTTGATTCTAATTTATGTTAATAATGTCTTAGCTCAACTTCCACAAGCTATCATGTAGTATGACCTAATTTTATATTATTTGGTCCTAAATAATATAGCGGTAATGGATAACTTAATGCCCTTGAAGCATTGAGTAATTTTTCGATAACATTACTGTATAAACCGCTGAGGCAATTTAGGAAAGTTCACAGTATTTCACATTTGTCATAGATTCGGCGTTACTGCAGCAACTTACAGGGTTGTCTTGATGTTAACGCCACGCAGTTAAAAATGTTTAGAGTTAATCATTACGTCCGACATTAATTACATGTTAAATAGCAATTCTTCACAAATATCTTATTAAACATCCTTTCTTCTCAAGCATCGGTAAATCGAAATACACTAAAACCGACAAAGTCATTCATGAAAAACGGGGACGATTTACAGACGCAAAGCACTGAACAACTGGGTCTCAAGAATCTCGTGGCAAATGCTTTATTAAAAAATAAACAACTATTATGCTCCTGAGGTTAATTTTGATAGGGGCTTAGGCCTAGGTAGAAAAGATCTAACAATATGAATGCGATTACCTAAGAGGAACGAGGTTCTCTTTATTTTCTGTCACCGGTAATTACAGTCGCATCTGCTATTTTTTGGACCCACTTCTTCTAAACACATAGAACCCTGCTATTAAAAGACAGCCCCTGTATACTTGCAATACGTAACAACATTGCATAGTGCAAAAAAAAATAGGCAAAGGCCTGACAGTTATGAAGTTAATACGAAACTTATACGATAGGTCTTGCGATGAAATGCTAGCTGAATGGTAATGAATACTAAAAAAAATAAATATAGGTTCGCGCGTTTCGCGCGCTCATTATGTTATTTTAATTACAACAACGGTACAACTAAACGAAATGTTTTTGTACGATTGGATATTATTACTTCATTTACAATTAGTATGAAAAAAATAGATTTATTAGTATTACGGTTCATACATCTGAAATCACGCTGCCCTACAAGAAATCTCGCTATACGGTATACGTGAAACTTTACATAATACGGAAAGATGTTCTCAAAACCGTGCTCTACCATTTCAGACAGTTCAGTTGCGCTGGCTTAACTATTTCATCAATTGGGCTGGCACCGTACGTACATAAATGGACTATTAGGACTCGTACAGCTGCTTTCCGGCAGATGCTAACCACGGTAATGATCCTATAGTCAGACTAGCGTAAAAGCCACAATGATGGCTGGTGCGGAGAGGGGACAACACGAAAAACAGTTCAGACGAAGGCAGAGGCCATGGCTTTGCGAATAGATGTCTGATGGAACGAAAAGGAATAACTAGTAGATTAGATTAGATAGATAGACAGACAGATAGATTAGATATATACATGGATAGATAGATAGATAGATAGATGGATGCATAAATAGATAGATAGATTAAATAGATGTACAAAAATAACAGCAGTAGTAGCGCCGTTTTCTTATAATGGTGCGGCGCCGTTTGACCTTTTAAACGTCCACGAATGGTCCAACGCGAGAAACTCAGGGAGATAATAGTGAGAAATAAGACAATCTGAAAAGGAGGAAGGACAAAGTGACGTTTTTCTTATGCTTCTTTTATCCATTCTGCGATTGTGGCGAATTTCAATTTTGCCGCTTGGTGTTATTGATACCGTCGTAGGCAGCATAATGACAGCTACGCATAACACAATATCGGGGACGTCAAGCTGGGTCGCCCAGTCGTTTTGCAGTTGATCACAATTGGTTCTCTTCAACAAATAAACTCCGACGAAGATAGACCTTATAGCCATCGTAACATATAATACAGTTAATAATGCCAATAATAATAAGAGTTCCTATATATTAATTTTATTCCACTCTCCTCATTTTATATTTGCTTAATATTTATATTGTTGCAACAATAACGAATCGAACAATGGTGACGATGATATCAAAACCAATGTTTACTAAACAAGATGGGTACGAGGGCTCCATGTCACCTCGGAAGGTGTGATCCTACAATTTTGTGTACGTGGATAACTACTGAAGCCACCAGTTACACGACTCGGGACGAAGTTACTTAGTTCTATAACCTACCTTAGAAAAATAAAATCCAAATATGATGTTAGCAAGCCTGCTTAACCATACAGGTTTTGCAGCCATATAAACTAGACCCGAGCTGCATCTGGAATCTTTCTCGTTCAAAAAATGTATAGTTTGATACAACTATATTATATATTTTTTATGTCATTAAATATGTTTAATGATTTCTTAAAATGTGTAGGAATTATAATCGGAACTGATTTCCTTATTCATTTTTTTGCTTTCTTTGCTTATCGACTGCATATCTTGCCTTAGCAACAATCTATATGTGAAAAGTAGCTCTTATATTCAACCAGTGACTAATTTTGTAGCTTGTTTATGCCAAACTTCAGTGTTGTTCCCATATAAACAGACAGTGCTGCGTGCTTTGGTAACCAATGGCCAACAGAATTGTTCTTAATATATATATTTTTTTGCTTGTATTATTCAATCGGTTATAACTCTGTAATAACTAAAAACATTGCCCATTGACATGTTTATTCATCTACGTCAACATAGTCGACATGACGCGCTTAGTTGTTCCCTTGATTTGATTGTATTGTAGTTAGCATATTATCTATATAATAATGCGAACGTAAGTTCGGGTTCTTGCGTCCGCGTAATGCTCCCAAAGGTCATTTGTATTATTGCTATTACTATGATAATTATATAGTAAACGTTACAGTCTACTAACAACACTAAAATAAGCATAACTAGTATAAGTGAGATGGTATTGCTAAGCCATCTGTTTTCGTCTTTGCTTATGATCATAGTAATAAAGAGCTTTAGCCAGATAAACCCAGTAAATAATCTATCAATCATTTTAACATGTTGTTACTGATTGTACGATCTCATTAAAATCTCGCGTATTTTTCGCGTTTTAGTAAACCTCTTAATAGGGTTAGATATCTGGAATCTCGTGCCATTACTGGTGTTTCTAGATGACACCCAGCGTAATCTTCAATGTGCAATAGGCGCTTTTGACCAGGCGGCCATTCTAGCGAGACCCCTAAAAATGTTAGAGTAGCCGGACATGTATGTGGGTACCGCACATCGCTTCTTGAAATCCTACAACGTATGTTTGCCTCAACAAAATTACGACACGCTTCTAACGTTCGGCATGTAAATGTATACGACACTCGATTTGCTGGGTTATATCCGCATCTATATTCAAAGCACAAACGGAACTGAAAAATTATGGCCATGTCTAAGGCAGCATATGAACTGTCAACAGTAGGCCTATAGCAGTTGCGTACAATTTGTTCCGTATAGTTTGCTCATTGTAGAAAGCGTTTGCTTTTGCTACAGCTTATAGTCTATATATAAGAAATGTTGAAGAATAAGCGAATATGCTTTTTATCAAAAGTGAACCTATATTTTTAATCGCTAAGTCATTTTAACAGCATTTATGTATTGTTATGTAACGAAACCCAATGCCAAAAGTTGTTCTATAAATTACAATTTTAAATTTTGGCAATGTTTATAAAAAGGTGAAAGATCGCGTTTTCTAAGCATAGTTATAAAGGCGCCCTTTAATAGCCTTCAAATATGTATTGAATTATTCGCTGCTTTATTTTGAATAGCGTCGTGTAACCTAACCTAACATTGGCCTAATTTGTCCTGAACTTGCTGGCAAAGTTTTCTAACTGATTCTACCTAATAACCTTTGAGTAGGTAAGCAGAAGTTGAAGGCTAAATGGAGCGCTACGTGATAAAGAAAAACTTCTTAGCTATATAGACATCGCATAACAGGGGCCAGATGTTAGAAAAGAGGTAACTACGGTGCCAGAAAGACAGCCCTGGATATTTCAAAGGTATGCATTTCGACGTTATAAAATTGTGTCTATATTTTTTCTATCGCTGTGGGCCGTTAAGCAAACAACTGATATTTGTACAAATGCGGCCGTATGTAATCGTTCTAAGAACAAAATTAAGTTTATTTCATCTATATGATATAGGACCGAATCAAAATTTGAACAAGTTTTATCTATTTAATCAACAGTATTTTTGTTGCAAAAAAGTACATTACGTATGAAAAACAGTCTTAAGACGCTCGATGGCTTCGACTACAATAGCTAACATTTACGTAATGAAACTATATTTTGGAGAATCGCCAATGAAGCAGCGGATCTTCAATAATAGGGGTCGTTGCAGATCCGAAGACTTTTTATGTCGCTCTTGAAAATCCGTATGGCCCTTAGCTAACCCTTTTATTTTAACTTAATTAAACAAGATAGATTTTACCAATCATTGTTTTAATTTCAAAGCTCATAATCTTCATAGCAGCTATACACCCGTTTCTAAATCATTGTCGAAACACCGTCTGTATGCTAAGGATGTACAAGTGATTCCATAGACATCTGCATTCCCCCTTGATTAATATATACTATACAGTGTCCCCTTTCTTGCAGCACATACTTTTATATTTCCATTTAAAAAAAAAAAGCGTGTTAGCAATTTAGCTGGAACAGCGTTAGAGGTTCAAGTTAGCTAGGCCTAGTTAGCTAGGCAAGATAGTTGATGTAATGTGGTGAAACTTTATTTCCGGATTAATCGAAAGGCCAATATTTGACGAATATTATCAAAAACACATGGGTAGTCTTTATCGAAGAAGCGTGCATCACCATAAGAAGATAAAATCGTAATATATAAGAGTTTACGACCGCCTAAGAACTGCATGAGAAGAAATTGATTGAGTTTAATAAGCTATTTAAAGTATCGTCTAATTCAATAGGGAAAGATGGTCAAATATTCTTTTGTTTGTAATATCACCAACCTCCCTCTCCCGTATGTTGGCTATCGTTAGACAAAGAGGGAAGTTAGTTACAGTGATTTCTACTGTTTTAAACTAGGCAAGCCTTTATCTTTGTCTCTTGTAAACATAGATTAAACATGTACTGCCTAGTTTGTTTCCAATATTTACGATATGCAATATAATTATTTGTTGTCCGTCGATATGAAATAGTTAACATCTTAGACTCTATATCTGTAGACTAACTCGTTTTTTTTTTATATTATTGAAATTGCAAGGTCAAACATGATCTTAGTGCCCCGCCATAAATCGAAAAATATTCTATTGCTAAAGCTCCTTAATTTTAGCCTTTTCTAGGTTACTATAACTCAAATTATAAAACAGATATCCTTAGCAAAAAATTGATCTTCCAAAAAGTATATTTTCCTTGTTTAAGGGCCTATAAACTGAGGAGATTTCTTATAAAAAAAAAAATAGGAGTTCCGTAATAATTTGAGGGGCGAATAGATCTAAAAAAAAAGTTCCGAGATTCTTCTTATGAAGTTAATCTACGAATTGTAACCACGGTAAAACAATAAATATAATAAAAATATTGCGAATAAGAACTCTCAGTTTTCATTCGCCATTGTTATAGTCATGGCTATAGAATCCTTATTTTTGTTTTGCTAGTCGCTATCGTAAGCCTAGCTAAAGTGGTATTGAAAAGAAATCCTTAGAAAGCGATATCTGTGGGTCTATCCCAGCTAAGTATACTATTATATTTTATGGGGTAAATGTAAATGAAAAATGGTTTGGCTATCAGTATCGGTTTAGTATGGAATATTATGCAACAGAATGTCAAGTTTGAGTAAATGTAGCAAATGTAAGTCACTTTGAGTATTCCAGATGCATGTCGAATGAATCGTAGAGCTAGAAGCTTTAACAATAATAATAATAAAGCCCAACGCTTTCCTCAATCACGCGTAATTCTCCTTTTTTTACCATAGGTACATGTTTTTGTAAAATCGTTGTGGGGACCGAATCAAAATTTGAACAAGTTTTATCTATTTAATCAAAAATACGTTTTGAGCAAGGTCCATTTAACTGACCATCCTTAATCTACCAGCTCCTCACAGCTTTTAGTTGAAATCACGTTGACCTCAGCTAGTGTCCTTTTATACCATCCAAACCCGTTGGATTTGTGACTCTAGTAATTGTAGCCAGGTACCATCGCTCCACAACACTTATACCGACATAAATGATATATCTGCGTGGACCCGCATATTAATAAATATTCTTATTATTATATAGACGATGAACAAAGTTTATTAAACTTATTTTACAAACGATTATAGACATAGCTCTGAGATACAATAGACCACTTTATCGGCATGATCGGTTTGAGCTATAATCATCTCTGTTGTTTCCTTTTCTTCTATTAAAACAGCCAGCAGCAAAGGCAAAAGCGCGTCGTGGTCGACGCTTAATTCAGCGGTTGTTGTTAGCTTAATTTACGTGCATTCTAGTTCTTGCCGCTTGATCGTAGCTGTTTGTGTATTATGTGGTACGAATCGGATTATTGAACCGCCCCCGTTAACACGAACGGTATACCCATCCATAGTGCTAATACTATTATTTCATACCACTTCTTCCCATGTGTAGACATTTGGCATTAAATATCCTTTAATGGTTTATTGATTTTTTCATTCGTCATATGTTCACCATAAACAGCACGAAGTATTGTTTCTTAAAATGCCTTCCATATGCTTTATGGCAGCTGAACTTTTCGGGAAACGCAATAAAATGACTGAATATACGCAATGTGGAAACGGACGCTTATAATATAGGTAAAATAGGTCCGTGGTAAGCACCAGGACTAACAGCCACCAACTAGAAATTTTTCTATCACAGTATCATTACTATTACCATGTATCTTTTATTAAAAATATATTAATTTCAGCAGGAGTTTCATTTGAAATTTACGTGTGCTGTTCTTTTATAAAATCGGCTCTATAGGATTTTATAAATGGTGGACTATTGGCTCATTTACAATATCCCGGCTGTATTGGGTTCTTACAATAATCAATTATAAATTATACTGCCTATTTATCAAACTGCGCGGGTTCCATTCTAAAAAAGTTGAAGCAATTACTTCACTGTCTTTCCTTAGAGCTCTTTCTATGTGGGTTTAACTTTGTTAAAAAAAAATTGCGTCTCCGTAGAAGGATCAAATTTCGGCCTTCCGCGTGACACGCGGTTCTAGTAATCACTGTTTTAACGAGGATTACTGAATTGCCATTGAGATTACTACACCATAAGCTTAAGCCAATGATTTTGGCTATACCCCCCGTGCACCTGATGACTGGCCAAGCGTGGATTATTGTTGTCATTGTTGCGAAAAATACGTGATGAATTTTTTAGCGGGTAACAATTTTTACTCTTAAAAGTCAAAGCTATATGTTATCAGCTTTAAAAAATACTGCAACTGTGTTTCATTTTCAGTAGATCACTATGCGTAATCTGTGGAGTAACCGAAAATACAAGCAAGAAACAGAAAATATTCACTTTATAAAACGTTTATTCTTAAATGAAAATTGCAATACTTTTTCTATAGAATAAGACAAGTTGCGATGCGAACCAAAAAGTACAACTCTTTATTTATGGAAGTGCATCATCGTTTCGTTGAAAAGGGCACTATTAATGTTAAGTTTTTAACTACATACTTGAAGACTTTAATTAGCATTTTGACAACATAAGAATAGGAAAACTATTTTTTCTTTGCTAGGACACAATTTCTTCAAACTGAATTTGATATATCGGCCTAAAGGCGGTTGGGAAGCTCTACACTTCACCATTCTACCAACCACCCTATTGACGGCCACGGGATGATGGTGCCATGTCACAAATCAGATTTCAAAAGTGAAAGTTTTAATTCTTCTTTTTTCTTTTTATATACAAAACCTGTATTAGACTACGTAAGTGTTATAACATCGGGCATAAAGGTAATCACGGTTACCGGTTACAGGTGCTATTGGAGTTTTCTCAAAAGACTACAATATCCCTAAAAATGAATAAAAGCTTCACATCAAGTGTTTCCTAGCCGACTGGATATTTTATTTACTACGAGAATAATAAGAAAAACAAGTTCCACAGTGAAGATAAATAAAGCCGGGAAATATTATCTGGTACAATAATTTTATAGTGATATAGGAACGTTGCGCAGTAGCTTTAACTTGAAAGAAAGTTATTATTATTATAATAAGTAGATTTACGAGACATCTTCTATTAAAGAGAACACAGGGCAACAGGCCAAATACGGCATGGTGCTACGTGTACTCTGTGCAAGAAACAGTACGTTGAATTAAAAAATTGAAATGTATTTTCTTATATTACAGTTGAAGCTGCCGCAAAGTTAAAAGATGGCTCCTTTCCGTGGAATTATTTTTCAAAATTTTTATGAAATCTAGATCAATATTATGAAGAGCCATTTCATAGTTAATTTATATTGGGGTGTATTCATTCAGGCAATTTGGTCTATAGCAGTAGCTTTATAGTGTACAATGATAGCTACCAGGCAGTGCCACGAGCATTGTTGGGAAAGAACGGCGCATCATAATCATTCGTTTTATAGGATAATTGATATGCTCGATATTTTAAACACTATAATAAGACATATCACTTATTTATTGCTAAGCCATCAGAGTGACCAAAATTCACTTTTTGTTGAAGGACCACGTAAAGTCGCTTTCTAGTTTGCTGTTAAGAATATAAATCATAAAAATGTGCTTAAGCATTTTTGAAACTGTTATTTTTTTTAATGCAAATATTCCGAAGTAGACGCTCTTGGAATTTTTGCCTATAAGAGGTTGCTTGATAGGTGCCTTGAGCCAATTCCGAGAAGATACGACAGCCGCTAAGATCTGTCGACCTATAAGTCAAATAATATTGTTAACATAAAAGACCAATAAATCATTTTAATTTAACAAAAGCATATTAAAAGGAAATTTATTTAACGATAAGCGAAAATATTATACTCAATATTTTCAACGAATAAATATTTTAGACCAATAATTTAATAGGATGCGCTCGAGATTTCAGTCATTTGGCTACTTTAAACCCTATAAATATTTCTGACTTAACGATGCTGAGCAACTCCGGTTCATTTATTTCTATGTTATGTAATGCATATATTATTATCAATATCTTACTCCCTGTGGTAAAATGATTAAAGAGCGGTACTTACCGGCAATCCTTCAACTATTTTCGTCTACAGATCTATGGTCACAGTATTCTTGATGTAAGGATACTGTGGGATGCAAGGAGCAAGGAATTGTTAATGGTCGTCGTTCTATTATTAAAAACATGATCAAAAGTACTAAATCTATTTGTTTTTTTACCGAACCATTTATCTTAAATAATATTCTTTAGGGTAAAGTCAAACATATTAGCACTACATATTCCTCAGTGGCAAAATTCTGTGTAACTGCTATAAATCCAGTTACGTTTATAGCTGAATTCGGTTATACCGAGGTTAGCTTTTACTATTTCCTTATTTCAGCTTCTAAGGTTAGGCAAATGTTGATAGCCTTTATATGTAAGTAAACACCATGAAATTAGGTTAGAACTAAAAGCATGAAAATCACGCAGTTTCCTATGCGTTTTTAATAGATTTCGTAGTTTACCACTGCATTTATAAGCATCTAGATGGCCATTTCAGGTATTTCCCAAATTATGTGAACAATAAATATTTCGTTTAAAAATATCCGTATTCTTAATATTAGAAATCGACGAAGTATTGCACATGGCCACTAGACGCACGCCGTGCGGTTCCCAGAGATAGCAACGGCACCGAATCTGGAGCATCACTTAACGATTTGTGCTCGTCTGCCTGATTTCCCTGGAGAGCGCGCTGCACGAGGTTCAAAGTTCGAAATTCTGAGGGCCGTAAAGGACCAGCTGGCCTGCGGCTTTGAATGCGGTTGTTAACCAAAGACGGCAGGCTGCGCATTTTTTGGAGGCGACTCATATCTTGTACGGCCTTAAAAATTTTGGATCTAAACTGACATTCTTTCGCTTCGTCACATTCTCGCGCCGTCATGAACGACTACTGCGCGGTAACAGCGGACACTTGCGCCTCGGACGGTGCGGCTGAAGTTCCACTCAGTAGAAGGCCTCAACGAATGTTTGCGCGTACGTTCGACGGTGAATAGAAATTAACACTATTGTAAGCCGGATTGCCATATAATGCGGGATTGTACTTCCCAGCGAAAGCTGCGGACGGAACATTATGAGAAGTGTTCGACACTTCTTGCTGCTTCCGCTGCTGCTGCTCACCAGTTATACGTTTCTGTTTATCTAGACTTGTCCTAGAGACATCGGAGGCCGAATAAGGAATTGCTCGAACGTCGCCGTCTTTGATAGCCAGAGGTGAAGTAGCGACTATCGCTCTGCGGAGCAGAGGCCATTTGACTTTAGCTGGGAACGGACTATTCTGAACTCGTGGAGAGGTCAGATACGTAGGAGCCAGCATGACATTATTCTTTTCTTTATTGGATATGGGTGGAACACACGTTTGCTCAGTATTGACGCTCGTGTCTATACGAGGCTGTTCACCACCTGCCATTGGAGCTTTTTTTGCTGCGCTTTGCGCTAAATTTAAATGAAACGCCCGCTATCAGGACAGCGTCGTTATCGTCATTTTTGTCGCCACTCTCCTCATCCGAAAGCAGCAAGCAGCGTCGGTTTCTATACCTTGGAGGAGAGATTTCATCATCGAAAGAGTCATTTTCGTCACCGGTGAGGACGAATCGCTGAGCAAGAAGGCGAGGACTTTTTCTCGGTGACACCCGTTCTGCCTTACGATTGCGTTTCGTTCTGGGTCGTTTCCTCGTTGTATTTGGAGACTTGGATACCTGCTTGCTGTGCTGGTTATCTCTTCGAAAACGAAGACAATAGGGAGTGATTGTGATACTTTTACATTCTCGTAGTTGTGCTGTGTCGTGACTTCCTCTCCAGCTATTGCGACGGACGTTCCTTCTAAAGCGAAGATTGTAAGGGAAGGAAGTGACTATGCGAGTGCATTTTCGTCTTCTTGGCAAGATACTAGTTGTGACCATTTTCAGTTTTGGCTGCTTTCTCTCGTATACAAGCCTGCCATTTGGACAGATCTTTTTGGCCTTGACCACTGCACCAGTCAAGAGAGGAGAACTTAATCGAAGGCTATATCGAATTGGTCTACTTTTTTGAGGTCGCTTTGTTTCAGTTTTGTTTTTTATTGGCTTCATCAGCCTAATTTTGGCTGAATCCGTATATGGTAGCATATTTGTCATTAATGATTGTGGTAAATATCCTCGAATGCTGCACACAACTTCCGGGCTTCGCTTGGCTTTCCTTTTCTCCTCTAGTTTAGCCTCTTCTGGTAGTCTTTCCAAAAGCATCAGAGGAAATGTGCAGCTGATCATATACCGGTAGGGATGGTTTTGAAACGCAACCCGAAGAAGTCGCAGACTTCGGCGACCCACTCCAGCAAATCGGGCCCAACGTGTTCTCAGCCTAGTTATCATTCTTACTAATCAGTAACATGACAGGACGCGCCCCTTTTTTAGTCAAAATTAGCGTTGTAATACTTGTGAAGAATCCATAAAAATATATAAACAAAAGACGAAAAACACAAAGCAATAGCGGTAGTGCGCAAAATCAAGCCTGTCATGGTCCATTAGTATCGAAGTAGATCACCCAGTTAGTTTACATCGGTCTCGACGACGGCTAAGAACAAGCATTCTTTTTAACATGCGTACGTCACCTTGCCATGTTTGTTGTTGTTGTTGTGGTGGTTGTTACTGTTGTTATGACACGATCGTCAATAAACTCACACAAAACGGATTCAACTTTTAGCTTCGGGGGATCAGGCATTATAGTAAGCGACGTGCACTGCACGTTAGCGCGGGTATATATGACGTGCATACAGTGATACAAACACTCACATGCGCAATCTTCGTTTTTTTTTAACATTATAGATTAATTGCGCGTACAGTTTAGTCTGATAGTAACATCTAAACAACATTCGCAGCATGATATGAAACAAACTAACTTCTTTCTGAGTATTCCTGATTGGCGTCCGTACAAAAGATCCATCAAACTCATTTTATACATAGAGTTGCCTGTATTGAAACCTTTACGTACAAGGATTGTTGTGTAATGTATATATATAAATTCTGTAAATAGGCCATATATCCATGAAGTAAATAACTGAAGAGAACGAGCTGCTCTTTTTAAAGTAAATTGTTGAGCACTACACAAACCACATCAGCTACGGTCGGTGCCTTTTCTATACTGGATAAAACAGGTATTCGTTATTTGTTCCTCAAAATATTTAGTTTCAGTATTTGAGCAACATTCAAAATGTGGACTCTGAATTTCGAATGATAGTATTTTTGCCGAACACTTAAAATTGTTACGTGACAATACTTTTTCTTATAGTTTGAAACGCTTACTCAGCGTGACAAGCTTATCGTAAATAGCCTAATGAAAGGTCTCGACTTCTGATAAGCACAAGGTATCAGTTATAAGGTAAATCCAAGTATTGATTAGTACGAACAAGTGACAATGTTAAAATTGTGTATGCATACAGATTCGTCTTTTGACACAATCAATTATGTCTTTGACAAGTCTGCGGCAACAGGCCCACACAGAGAGACTCTTCCCTCTCCCCAATAGATTTTATGTCCTTCCTTCTATATCGGTGGATTCGCAGATCTGCTGTTGATGACGTACTTACGCGGCCTTCGCCCATGAGCTAACACATAGCAAAGCCGCGTGTACTCTAATACAAATACCTCTATCGAGAAGATTCTGTACCACCAGACAACAAATAGTTCTCTGTGAAATCGGATGACTCTGATGAAAGCTGGAAAATACCGAGCCATTCAGGCCATTGCCTGGGTTTCGGCTAGCCAAACGCCATCAGAAGTCTGTCCCAACTATGCAGTCGCAAGTTTTTTGTGAGTTCGGCCATATGGACAGCCATCCCACCGTTGGCATCGAAACAAAGTGAACTGATATAAATACTCGATACTATGGTAAATGGTCTTTCAGTATTCAGAGCGTAATGAAGAAGTCGACAGAGTCAGGCGTGCTCGATAAATAGACGTGTATATATATATATATATATATATATATAGGAAAAGGTGGGACTATCTAGGTCAAAATCTGCTTAATGTTGTCTTGGTGCCATTTGGTTTAACAATTGGTGCCACTGATGAGAAAAATATATCAGTGTATTTGTTAAAGGCATTAGATGGACTATTAATGGTTCTCCGTGAAAAAGTCAGTCGTTTATCAAAGTAAAAGAAAAAATTATTTTCTTTCAAGGAAAGGCTATGATTTAACTTAAGATATAAGAATGGGATGCTCATCTATTAAATCATGATAATAATTTATTATAATAATGATGACGAAAAAAAAATGATGGTTTATCTGTCATGTGTTCATATGAAATTCAGGCTTCTAATGGCCCAAGTATTAACAAATCGACGAGTTCCATTATTTGTTATCTTGCTCAAGAAGTGACAAAGAACGGTGATAATGTGCATCGTTCTCCGAAGCCAACTGTACTGGGTTTTGTATAACTACTGTGCTTATGCATGATTTTCGAGTAAATAATTATCTATTATAAATTCAGATCCTCATCACCTGAAGTGTGATGGATATGTCGACGATATTCTTTTGTCCAAATCGTGCGTCAGGTTAACAAAGTTGCCAAAATTGTTTTTAAACGCAACCATATATGACACAAAAATAAAATGCCTTAACTCGTCATATATATACCACAGAATACTTTAAATTTCTTTATAAAGGTACTCACTTTGACACATCCTTAAAATGTAGTAACACGTATAACCGAATCTCACTCTCACGCATAGAACCGCAGGGTAGTCATGTAATAGAACTCTACGTAATGATCTTTACAAAACCTACTGCCAGTTTGGCTTGGAAAACATAACGTTGTGACAGCTGAAATGGTTGCTTCTTTATGGCCTAATAAAAGCTTGATAAAATGCAAAAAGAAACAATATTGTGTGTCAAATAGTTCGACCTTTCGACATTTGGTGGAAGAAACATCGCGAATTGCGTTACATTTCTGGCTTTTATGCATCTTAGAAATGATGACCACTTGATAGTATTCAAGTCTTGAATTAATGCTTCGTTGTTAGAGAAAACAAAGCGGCCTACGTTGCCATCTTTCGTTGTATATTTTTCGTGGTTTCATATTTGCATCATTTATAAATTATTTATCCGATTCTTATAAAGAAACTAAACATTCAATCAGTAAAAAATTTATATTTAGGAATTAAAAAATTATACTACTTGCATGTTAACTGATAGTGATTGGAATAGAATCACAAACAATATATCCTCAATCTAGCTAATAGATTTTTGCTTTACTTGGGATACTTATACATTGATAAGCTTATGTCTTGATTATAATTCTTCCTCGTTAAAAGTCAGCTAAACAGTTACAGGACCTTTTTTAAAAGCATCATCTACGATGTCGCGCACTAGCTTTCGTAGGAATATAGTAAAACAGTGTCACTTTTTTCCACAAAAAAAGACTAAATACAACATATGGCTAAGTTTCTCGTTGATGTGAAATTAAGAACTTCTTAATGTGCGAGAGCTCTTTTCGTGAGCTGTTGTTCTATCGAAAATTCGACACTCCCAGCCGGCGCAGCCGCATCGTCACCAGCATGTGCTACCAACACAACAAACAGATCATTTAGACGTGCTATATACTGGTGTGTTCTCTATGAAATGCTCTTTTTTAGATCTCTTAATTAGTAAATGCATAATATATTATTCAACGATTAAGTACTGTGCGATATTGGATCGTCATCGTTTTTGTAATTAAGAAATATTTTTGCCTCTCGAGAAAACAATGTCAGCTCCATTTGTTGTTAGGTTTGAAGAGCCGGCTATCAAGCACAAGGTAAGCTACCTTTGTTTATCTTAAAAATGTTTTTTTTCAGAAATTTAAATTTTTGTTAATCTAGCTTTCTAATTATGTCTCTTTATCCTATACATTTTTACCTATACGCGTGAATTGTAAGTTTCGCCAAATTACAATTAACGCGCAGCACATACCATTAGTCAACTTCATTCATTTGCAGTCAGGGGTGGTTAAGAAATTAATTATACATAGGTCAAAGAGTTAAAGAGCTAAGCAGTAACTATCTGTAACAGGGAAGTGCATCCATTAGTGAGCGATATGTAAAATTAAGCTGTTATTGGTTTTAAGAAGTACCTTCAGAGTGCGCGGAATCCGTTTTTAGCTTTGTGTTGAATGCATCCTTGATTTTTTATTTTTTAATTGTCTCTTATTTTTTCGAACGCGTACATAAAATTTACTCGATTGCGTACATTATTGTGAATATTTACTTTACATTTCTAAATATTTATCTTCCCGCTTTTAAAGAAGGCATAGTACTATTTAAATATTATTAAATAAAATATTATTTGCGCTTCCTTGCTTACAGCGCCTCTCGCAAATGTGGGCCGATGCTAGAGCACAAGTTCTTGAAAAAAATAAGTCGAAGGCGCGTAATACTAAGGTAGGTGTCTGATAAACCGTGAGAAAGGTTGTTAACCGACAGCAAATGGCTTACATTTTATCTGTTACATTATTTCACAGAGTCCATTACTCGATGTAGTGCATTATTGCGCAATATCCTGACACTCCAAAAACAAATTTGGCACTGAATTTATCCTAAAAAGATGGATTAACCTCATAAGTACTAAACAACATGCTGTAAAAGTAAGGATCGAAAAACAATAAATGATGTTATTTATCTTTAAACCTTTAAATATTTTAACGTGTTATTGCTGCAGTGTCGACAAGTCCTTGGGTTTTTCTTGTTAATATAGCAACAAGCATTCGCCCTACTAACAGATCGGGTTAAGTCTTGTTTAACTTATCTGAGGTTTTTTTTTACTAATTTATGAAACAGCGTGGTAACCATTTGCCAATGCTGAGATTTGCATCAGTAATGGCCGTATGTTAATGGTTACCATAGCAACGCACTCACAGTATTGTGTATTAGCCCCCAGATAACTTCACTTCTGCACTCTTCTTCTGCCAACTGCTTTACGTAACTTGGCTTTCAGAAAAAGGATAAGGATGATGGGGAGTTTGACGTTGAACGAGTGCGCTTCGAAGTTCTTAAATTTGGAATCGACAATGATATGGAACGAGAACGGAGACTGAACGCTAAACAGAAGCTCCTGGTACAACTCGGAGCCAAGGTATGAACAAGTAGTAGAAACCTACATTGCTATCGAACATTTTTTCTATAAACAGTTCATCACGATTTAGTTTGAATGAAGGACATAATCTTATTTCATTATCATATGCATAAAAATATATACAACTGGATGTTATTCCGTAATTTCTTTTAGTATAATAATTTGTTGATATAATAAATTCACAGTATTCAGATAAAATGACCTTTCAAATCGTGTAGATTATCCCAATGGAAAAGTTGAGATATTTAAAGGAAGGATAATACAATCACTTTTAGCGAAGCATAAAGGATACCAATTAACTGCTAATTGTGTGTGCTTTTCAGCCACCTAAAAACCAATACCTGAATTACAAGAAGCTTAAGGAACAACTCAAAGCCCAAAAGGAGGAACAACATTTACCACTTCATAGCGTGAGTGGTTTTGATGGCTGTTATACCGGCTGGTAGATGCTGCTATTTTCGTTGAAATCTACATTAATCGCACGCACTGGTGCCAATAGGTTACATGACTATATATATATTGGCCACTAAAGCCACCTAGAAATTTCACACATTGTTAAATTTGGTCAAGGACACCTTTACCGAATTTAGTACGCACATGCATTTATGGTTGTGTGAAAGCTGCCTCCCTTGGCTTCAAAACAATAGGACGTGTGGCAACGCTGTCGGTAAAAAAGAATTTCAAAATACTGTGAAAGGGGAGAAGTTTGCTGAGGCTAGAGTTTGGTCCTCCACTTTCGACTGCGGTACTCGGTTGGCATGCTCTGACTGCATCTTCTATCCGTTTTCTTCAGGCATGGGTCCTGGGCCACACTAGAAGTAGAGTATTTTTACGTTGTAAGGCGTTCGTAATTTTTTCTTCGGCCCTAACTCGTTCTCGACATCTCGATACCATACTTGATTCCTTATTGGGTTCATGTTCAGTGAATTTCCAAACTAATGCAGGACCTCAACACCATTAGTAATAAATACCTTAAAAATACACTTTATTATGTGACATAGAGTCTTATCATATATATGGGTATAGTTCTCATCCGAGAACCATTCTTATACCTGCAGCAGTATATTTTGCTTGCATTATTCCATTATATTGTCATTTGTTTCGTAATCGTGTCGAAGAAATGTAGCGCTTTTATTACTCTGGAATGTTTACTTTGTTGAACCACTTGCAGACATTTAGTTTTAATGCAGAGCTATTTTTCGATTCGATAAGCGATCGAACTTAACAATGTGTGAAAATTCTCGACAGCCTTATTCGATTGGCTGTATGGATTACACTATTTTACTAAATAGATTGTAAAACGAACACTCTATACATTGGCGGAAAGTTTGGCATAGATCTCGTAATCCTTCTTTGTACCTCCAACTGTGTTTTCGTCTCCTGACTGACCTCCGGATAACAAATTGTGGACCTATATCATTGACCTAATATTGCGACTAATATTATCGACAAAATGCAATCAGTGACTATTTTAATGCCGATTTCGTGCACTTTTCACAAGCGTAAGCCGAGTTCTTGGTTTTTTTTGGTCAAGGCCTACATTGAGTAATAAAGTAAGTGTTTTTCGAAAGACTGTCGAATGGTAACAGAGGACCTATTGCAAAGTGTGCAATACTGCATCGCAAAAGTACGGGGTTCTTCAAGGACACAGACTTGGTCGTAAGAGCAACAGCGCTCGATGGGTTTCAAGAAGTTACACCGAAAATCCAAAAGCTATTCCATTTTTATAGGGCCGTGTCTAGGCTTTGGAGGTTAAAGGTGCGCCTAAAATTTCGAAGTCGATGGTTGCAGCACTTTTTGCATTTGGAAGCAAGTACACTATAATTTGAATTGCAGCCTTTTTTTATATCACTGGCATTAAAAAAATATGTTCCTACATTTACTATCATTGAGATAGAGTCCTGGCTTTTCCTGAAAATCGAGAGTACGCCTTATATCGCGGATCACATGAGCGGCTCTATAGCTAAGGTTTCATCATGGGGATAGCATGGCTTTAATTGGCACTCTAAACAAGATGAGAATGACACTTCGCAGAAAAAAAGTGCAAGGATCTCTGCACTGTACATCTGGGCAGATGATGTAGTTGTGTTCACCTAGGAAATATCGCTTTTGTGGTGATACGTTTCTTGCGTCAGTGAGCACAGCGGTTGTACTTTCTGATGGTCTTTCTTGGATTAGTTTGAGGCGCTTCGAAGGTTAACTTTACTAATCATTTTGTGGGCCGCGCGACTAGTCTCCTGATGGGCTCGTGTAGCGTGTGCGGTGTTTCTGCACTTTCTCGAAGGCCTTATGTCAGCTATGTAGATGCGACCAACTGACGGAATCGTCTGAAATATCTTTTCGTTGCGATTATTTTAACGAGATCAGCGGTAATGGACCGTAAGCCCCAGTTGTTTCTATAGGTTCAACCCATCTGGCCCAGTATTCTGACTGCAGACCGTACTTTTAATGGGTAAAAGTGAATTTGTATATTGTATTTGCTGTTTTATTACTATTTAAATTGGCACAACCTGCGTCTATAGCGAACAGTATTTTTATTGGGTAAGTGCGGACTGCACAAAAGGTTTTAATCTGAATCGCTTCTTTTGCTATATTAGTATAACCTTTATCAAAATTATTTACTATAATTTTTAGAGCAAGGGACCTCCAAGGCCGTCTCTTGAAGCTATGAAACGAGATATTTCGAGTCGCGCAAGTTCATTTCTATTGCTTAGAAATCCGAATTACTTTTTCACGTAGAACGTACAGTTTAAGACCTACATTCACAATGACACTCTAAATACTGCAGGTAATTTTAACATGTAGTCAGGTGAGGTGCCAGCAAAATCTCTGATATATGAAACTGACAGTGGGTCCAAGATTATCGATAGTAAATATACTATTATTTTACTGTTTGCTATTAAAGAGGATCCCTCCTGCGAAAAGGCAATTTTCCTAAAAGTCGCTAGTTATTTAATCAACTAAATAGTCGCACCAAGAAATCAAGATACAGTATATAGGTATATAATAGGGTAATTTTAATTACGGATACCACCATCGTCGCTGTAGGTCATGCTACTGTGCTAAATGAGGTCCTTTTCAAAATTTAGGCGAATTCGGAAAGTCACTATGAATTAGCAGTAGTATCTTATTGTACCGCTAATGCGATTACACTGCTTAATATCTATCAAATTAGAATTAAAGAGTAGAAGAAAGAAATGTTATGCATTAACTAATTTGCTAGCACATACGAGAGAAGCAGTTATTCATTCATTTTCAGATGATGGGTCAAAAATCAACGATCAAGTCACAGTTATCGAAACGAAAGAGTAAAAAGCAGAGGTCGATCGACATTACGGCAGGGTACGGAAAGCTACGAAACGGGGAACTCATTGTTGGAAAAGATACGAGGAAAACATTCAAGAGGATTCAAATGAAAGCACAAAAGATGCAACAAGGAAAAGTTACGGGGAGGATAGCCCCAAGGTAGAATGAGCCTTGTTGTCGCATTGTATATATGATAGAACAGAAATAAAAGTTTCGCCTTTGATAAAAATTTCTACTTTTCGTTAGCTTCGCCTTTTAAGCTTGTTTTGTAGTTCCGAATAATTGGTATTTTTGTAATTTGTAGACAAAAGTTCATTTAGTTTGAATACTAGTTTCTGTAATAGAACTACTGAAACTAGTCCTGCTTGCTGACATCTAGATGAACTTAGCAAAATCTTTAAATATCTGCGTTTTTTAATCTAACAGGTTGAAAACAGTATGTTGTTTGATACAATAAATAACAAAATATATATAACTTTATTCGTCATTGCGATCATGTGTCTTTTTTCTCAGTCTCCTCCTTGAACCTCCTCCCACTATGTTCTTGTTCGCCATTTCGCCTGGAATTGTTTCATACGGGCTCCTCAGCTTCTTCGTTAACATCATCCGCAAACAAGCAGCACTAGCAATTTGCCACTATTGCGTCTCGCTTCTTTCTGCAATTCATAACGTTTCTTTCTTCCTCTCTCCCTTTGTTGTTATTATTAGCATTACCGTTGTTATTACTTATTATTATTATAATATTAATTAACTTAGCCATTTTATAGCAATGCCCAAGGTACATGGGGATTTGGTTGCATCATCCACTCATATTTTTTTGACATCATTTATGACATCGTTACTTATTGTCATTATATCAATGTCTCATTTGCTTCATTATACTCAATTGTTATTCATTTTTCGCTTCAAAGCGAAGCATGTACGCAGTTGTCCTTATTCATCCTACAGTTAACGATGATACTCCATTTTCCATAATTAGCTAGCATGCGTTTGAGAAACCCCATTGGCCATTTTAGTCTTGTCATTTTTGTGTGTGTCAAATCTGTGCTGTCTGTCTATGCTGTAATGTATTGAAACAAACACTCGGATGTTTTTATACTCGTCACCCCTATAGATTTCACATTTTCCATTCCTCATTAATAGTTTGCTCTTAACTACTTACTTAACAGTCATTGTTGCTGTTTTAGCATGAACACCATCATCCTTCAACGCGCAACAATATTCGAACGACGCCTAATTATGTATTATGTATAGAATATATTTATATGTATAGTACAATACGAATAGGGAAAAATGAATGAGAGAAGGAGAAAGAGCAAGTGTCCCTTGAGCTCGCAGGATTTCGCTTAGTGGATAGAAAATACATATTCGTGCCAGAAAGATTATTATTAATTCGAAGAATCGGGGACGTCACGTCGATGAGAGTTTATTCATATCATTAATGAAGCAGTAGTATCGAATAGTAGTTCATGCTAGTATTGAGGAGATGAGGATGACGTTATCCATTTTAGTTAATTTAATGATAATATTTTTCTGTAACTGTATAATGTCTCTTTCTCTTTCTCATGCCGCTCTCTAACTTTAATATACATAACATCTTAATTTAACATATACATATACGGAAAATATAATGCGTTAACTCTCGTCAAATTTGTCATCGTTGTTACAATTGTGATCATGTTTGCTGCTGCTGCCCTTATTACGGTCTCTTGTAGTTAATTTGTTGTTAGTATTAGATATGATCATTCTCGTTATATGTTAGCGTGGTAAATGTTGTGAGCATGTTCTTATAATAGGTTACAAAATATTAATAATCAATATGATTAAGCTGTACAAGCCAATTCCAGCTTTTCTGTTTTCTAGTCTTTATGCGTTTACATGAAAATTGTTTCACAGCTTCCGATCAGTTAGGTCGCCAACTTCAATTCAAATGTTCATGATTAGACCATCTCCAAGTTTTCGTTTGTCGTTGTCGGGTGATACCTATAAATGAACCGTCTTTGTGTTTCTTCCGCTCATCAAGGGTGTTTTCCTTACAGGCTGATGCTATCGATCTCTTGTAGCCATCCTGTTATACTCTCAAACGTAGATCTCATTACGATTGTTTGCGGCTTCTTCAAACAAAACATACCGTGCTCAAATACATCGATTATTGTTGCACCATAGCTTACATTTCGGTGACACTTTTGCCGATTTGCCATCTTTGTTTTATCTTTCTTTCGATTCGGAATAAAAACATTTTGTCCCTTTTCTGATTTTCATTCGCAAGCGAGCGCTAGCAAGAATTAGGTAGAGAAAGGGATTCTATCAACATGACGAACGAACAAAGGCAAGCAAAAAGCCTTACATCCAATGCAGTATATAGAATAGATAACGATTGTCGATAGTAATAATGATAATGCGCAAGGCCCGGTTAATTTGGTCAACAGTATGTGTACAGATAGATCACTTGGTTATTTTCATTGTAGGTGCTTTTTCAAATCGTTAAGAAACTGTTGCACGAACAACGCAGGGCGCTGGATCAGCGTTTTCCATAACATTTTAACAACACATCTAGTTGTTATCATTGTTATTCTGTAATGTCGACTTATCATCACAAATATACACATAAATTACAATTGTCACTAATATTTTCATGCTTTTATTAGATCATATGCGATCGGTTGAAGTCTTGTTTCTATCATAATAAAACAACAGTTCGCAAGCTCATCAAGCGAAATGCGCCTTTTGTTTCGATCTTGCGAGAAACAACCTCCATCACAGACCGTCCATTCTTTTCTGTACTGAAACATGTATTGACGTTTTTAAGTGCACGTATACATCTGTAGCACATTGTGTCTATACGTGGTGTCGATTGTGCGGCAGACGATCAATTCCATTATTAGGGCATTGAGACCAGCATCATAACTAACATGGTGATTACGTGATTTCTCCATTATGAGTAATCCTTACAAATGGCTCTGTCTGTTCTCCGTGTACGCTATGAAGCCAACAGGTGTTAATTTTTCTCTTTTCTTTATCAACACCCTGCAAGACAGGAATGACAAGCACACCAGCAATAACGTTAACCGATTACCGCTAGCACGTCATCATCGCCGCAATAACCGATTACCGTTGATCCTAATAATTTTATCCTATCACGCGTCGCGCATTCGTCATCTGTGTCATCAAGGCGTTAGTTCAACAAATATGTTGCGTTTACTCGATTGCAGCGTTCGATCTTTGAAATTGCTCGAGAAATAGCACCTTTATTACCATATCATTGTTGGCGCCGTCGCTGCCTCTGCTGCTTCCACAAACAAGTGTTTATAACTCACTCTGCTTCCTCGTCCGATATCGCTATTCCAGTCCTTGTCGACGTCTCACATGAGGAAAAAAAGTAGGTTAGTAACAAGGTTTTTTGCCTGTCGACCATCACTATTATCATCATCATCTTTCATATGCAACACCACGTGCGAACCTCACCCACGAGCATCATTACCACAACGAACATTGCTTTCGAATTATACCTAGGCTTTTTCCTGCCTTTTGTTACACGCAACTTAGAGCACAGAAAAGGGGGACTGGGGTAAACATGTGATAAACAGGCAGGTGTGTGCGTCTTTGCGGATGGCAGAATAGTATCAGCATGCGCGCTTACGAAACAACAGAGAGTAACAAGTAGCACCATCGTCTTCGCCGCTATAGGCTAAAGAACTCGTGTTGGAAGATGAGTCAAAGGTCGTGCTTGTGGAGGCAGGGGCAGCATTATTTCTCATTGCGATATTGTAGCCATTCGCAACGGTATTCAAAGGTGGCCAACTGTTGCGCTCGTCAGTTCCCGGCAAATATCCTTGCATCTATGTAATTGCGTTACGCAATTGTTACAATTATTATTGTACAATACACCTGGTAATTAGTCAACGATCTTAGAGTTTTCTCTCTCTATTCTATATTTTCTGTTTGTTCTACACAAGTCGGTGTAACAGCCGTAACTCAGTCCGGGGCTGTGGACACAGACGCTGCCTCCTCAAATATAAAACTAGTGACTTGTTAACTGTTAAGATAATTATCATATTGGATGGATAGGCTACAAATGAACTCGTGAAAAATTTGCTCGGCTTGACACGGAGACTACGCTAATCGTGTCCATGTTAAGGCCTATTGCTGTTAATCCTAACAAACTACTAGATACAGTCATTTGCTATATTTATATTGATTTGAATATAATCATATGAAATTTATACGTATCGTGTCAACTAGTGGCCGGCGGAAAGAGCTACTTTAACTATTTCTTCGCAATTACTAACCTAGCAAATTTCACCCTTGCAATGTGGTGGTTGGCGTTTTCATCCCTTTTAGGTTAGTGCACGTACTTTTCAGCTTTACAATAAGATTTGGTCCAGAAATAACCGTCATTTGAGACAATTGATCCGACTATTAAGTTAGTGGACAGCAATTGATCCATCTCGGCTGGAGAGACAGAGAGAGCGGTGATTTATGGTTGGCATTTGGATGTTGACCATTGTATTTGATAATAAACTGTGTCTAATGTATATCCTCTCTAGTGCGTATGTATACGAATGCATTTAAGCAGGAAAATATTGCACGATATCATTGCAGTGACAGATGTTCGTGTTCGCTTGTACGCTGTACTCCCTGCTGGCTGTGGAGGAAGTTAAGCTAAACAAGACATTAGCGCCGCAGGGAAGCGCATAACCGTCCGCCAACTATGTCAGTATCGAGACGTTACTCAAATTAGCATACGCCGTTAGATAAGAATGACGATGGCTAAAGAACACGGAAATCGAGTGATGGCTCTTTGAAGGCGATACTACAGAAAGCGCTCGACAAGGTCTACACGCACTGCTTCGCCCGTGGACGTAGATGGCGTGATTGAATTACCCGATTGAGCCTCAGTGATCTAGCAGCAATGAATGCCAATCAAGCTACTTTATAATGAAAAAAGTGGGTTCACTCATTATAGGTTAGCAATTAGCAATAATTTAGTTATGTTTTTTTTTATTTTATATATAAATTATAACAAACACAGTGTAACGAGTTTTTCACTAAGCCGTGACATTCTCGTCGACGCGTTCATTGTTTGTTCTTTAAACTTTCTGTTTAGTGTTCGTCTGTCGAATGCACTCGTATCTCTTCGTAGCTTATGGCTGACTTTTGCCATGTCAACAGTTCGCTTTGCCCCCTTAATTTCGCTTCGACATTTGATAGATTAGCTTTCATTGCATCTCTAGATGTATGTGTGTATCACAGCGCAGGCGCCTCGTCCTCCAACCAACTGTCGGTCATTTTCATCAGCACATGTGCTATAGGAAGCAAATACTAATACAAAGAGTAGCAATACAAGTATAAGGAAACACATTCATCTAAACAACAGTGGCGTGACATAGCGGCGACACAGCTTATGTTAAAACTAGACCCCCAGCTTTGACCGTCACTAATCTCCCGTCGTCGTCGTCATCGGCAAGAACAAGATCAACAACAGCCATAACGACGACCCATAAGAAGTTAGCAGCGGCAGCAACAGCCGACTTGTTCGTGGTGGCGTTCAGGCATACAGGCGACACAAATTGAGTTCGTTACGTTTCACTGATTGTTAGACTATCATTTTTACAACTATAACAGCAAAATACTTTTTCGGTCCCCTATCGCATTCACACACAGCTTGTCGTGAACGCGTGCACTGACGGCTCCGACTTCCATCCTCTTCATCAGTGCTACTATATCACACAGAACATTTATATCACGTTCGATCACGTACGCTGGTTCGCGCTCTTCACATACGACGACGACGACGACGACGACGACGACGACGACGACGACGACGACGACGACGACGACGACGACTACTGGATTTCAATGAGCCACCACCAGCATTATTATCATTTTCAATAGCGCGCCCCTCGTCTAGGAAGAGGATCAAGAAAAATGTTTTGGTTTTTACGGTGCGTTTATGGTATCCTCCCATTAACGCTTATTTTTCTACACCTTTTGTGTTCGTTAGCACGATAGTCTTTTGCCGAATAGAACCATTTACCATAACCAAAATCTAACATCTTCACTTCAATTAGAATTAATTAAGTAGTAACACTTTAAGGACCGGTAATTTATTTCAATCGGACGCGGGCTGCTTTTGACGAGGAAGAGCTAAAAGGGCATATAGAAGGGGCAAGTAGACCCTTTGTCCTAATTCAAAAATTCTAGTAGCACATGCGGTCCGTCGCAACGTGGCACAGGTGCAAAATTAGCCTAGACAATTATTGTTATAAGATTTTAATTATTATATTAATATTATTACCTTTTCATTGTGTAGTCATTAACATTAGACGTAAACGTACGCGTAAAACCTATACAGGCAGCAGTACACCGTTCGTAAAGTACTTGATTGTAATGTAACACTGTTAATGTCGAACTTCTGCGGGTGTGTATGTTCATGTGCTCTGTGTATATTCACTTACAAATGTTACGTATGCGTTCTATCTGCAGTCACGATGCCAATCGTATTCAGCGATGACAGCATAGGGCCCTTTTTGCAATGTACAGTTTTACATCTACCTCTCTGACAACAAATGAGACAACAACGACACTATTAAAAAAACTTCGTCCACCGTTTTGTTCTTGCCTACGACGAGCTCGAGCGATTGCTACGATTCCTAGTATGGCCCGTAGATTGTCTAAGAGATATCGGCTGTATCGGTACGTTGCGTTATATACATTATGTTCAGTGGACGACCTCAGTTTAAGTAAAAGGTAGGCACAATTCCAGATGTTCTACTCACTTCTCGTCCACACCTTCGCTTATCGCCAACAGGTCAAGCGTTACCTCGTTGGGTCATACTTTTAGTCGCTTTGCCTGAAAGAGCTCTTCATCCGCCTTCTTTTTCCGTCGTCGAGTTATCATTTTGTGCTCCCCACCCAGACTAAGCATTTTTGTCGACGTAGCAGCTACAGCCAACCCTTCAAGCGGCTCGCTTGACCCGTTGCCATTAAGCAGCTCAAATTTGAACTTAAGCGGCTCTGTCTGGATAACGGTAAATTCGGCCTTGATGAGTGCGTTTGATGAGCTCGAATCCGACCCAGGGCTCTGAATGGGTTCAGGCTCGTATCGGGGTGGTCCTGCAGGTTCGGGGCTGGCGGACGGGCTAAGCGTCTGCAAATACGCTGCGACCTTTGTCTCGGGGAACGTGAACACCGACGGCGCTGACGACGCCGACGAACATGAAGGTGGCATGCCTGATGACGATGACGAGACATGACGCGTCGATGGGCTGGCATTCGACGGACGACTAGACGCTGAACCTGAAACACAGCTTGAAGACGACGTTGATGTGGAGGTCGACCTTGAACCGGCCGACTTTTTCTGAAGGCGCCGTTGGGCCAGTGAGGCAGACCCGACTTCGGCGAGACGGAACCCACCTCGGGTGGCTAGATGGAATGCATCAAAGGTAGCACGGAATCCACTCGTTCCTGCACTAGCGAGAGCATCTGCCGAATTTGAGGTTGCAGCCAAAACATCTGGGGTTCCCGTTTTCGATGCAGCCATCGACGCCTTCTGAGTGCCCATCAAATGCTGCCGCTGATCGCTATGCAGGACTTCCGGTGTAGCTAATGGCGTCCGTAAGTTTTTCTTGTTGGGATGATGAAGCCAGGAATGGGCACGCAGCTCCGACATGGTCAGCCTCTGTTGAGGGTCCACGGTCAGAAGGCCCTGCACAATCTGCTTGGCATCGGCTGACACAACGTCCCATTGAGATGAATTTATCGTGAAATCGCCAGCAGTAATCCGCTTCATGATTGCAGCGGCAGAAGCATCTCGACTCGGACTGTGGAACGGACTTCGACCAGACAGCATCGCATACTAATGGAACAAAAGTAGATTACTATCTCGCATTATGTATATGCTAAACGTGTTATCTACTAGGCACGCATTCATATTAGTTAAAAAATATCCAAGCTAAAATAACTATTGGAGCTTATGAATAGCCCAGAAATTAAGTAATTACATTCAGAATCAAAGAAAAGCAAGTACGCGCTATAAAAACCCTGTGTGGAATCGCAGAAAAAAATGCATTTGATATACATACCAGGATGACGCCGAGACTCCATAAATCGCATTGCTCATTGTACCCTTGTGCAGTTTTGTCTTGAGCTTGGTTAAGGACCTCCGGCGCTGCATAACTCACTGTGAAGCAGGGGGTCTTCATCAATTCTTCCGCTGGTTTTAGTCGAGCGAAGCCGAAGTCAACGACTTTAATCGTTGATTTGTCGGCTGTAAACAGAAGGTTTTCCGGCTTGAGATCGCGATGTACAATGCTCCTCTTATGCATAAAATTGACGGCTGACACTAAGCGTTTGAAGATCTTGCGTGCTTCGTTTTCCGTGAAGCTTGATTTCCGACTGATCATTTGGAACAGCTCACCGCCACTAAGTAGCTCGGTGACAATGTAGGTGTGATATTCGTCGTCGTATACTTGTACGAGTTCAACTATATTCGAATGACCTTGGCACATTCGGAGCAATTGCACTTCGCGGCTGGTGTCCAGTCGACGGCTTACGATTTTGACTGCGCGCTGTATTCCTGTCTCCTTATGGACGCATTTTCGACACACCGAAAAGGAACCATCGCCCAGGAAACCGCTCTCTTCAACCAGTAGGTCGTAGTCACGGAAAAAGGTTGAGTTCTTAAATCGCGCAGCAATAAGCTGATTGAGACCGGGCCGGGCATCACCCTGAGCTTCGCTGATCATGAGATCTTTTGAGAGTGCATTGGCCGAAAATAGTACTGACGGCGCAACGTACGAATACCCTTTGAACAGATCCCCCGTATCAGATTCCGAGTAGTTGGGTACAACAGCCGGCGAATCGGCTGGAATCATCGATGTAAACTCTTCTGAAAAGTTGCTGACGTCCAACTCATCTATAAGCAGAAATAATATAGAAAAGGAGACACCAGGCGTTAGGGCACCCGAGAGAACAGCATCTTTAGAAGTGCGCTTCTTTGGGTGATACACTTGTAACAAATTGACGACAGAAGCACAACGCCTAGATATAATAGAAAAAATGAAAGTAGATATCAGCTCACATTAGTCATTACATTTAATATATATATCCTAACCATATTCATAACTACGCAACACCGCGTTGCCTTGTGGGGAAAGTTACAGGAGCATTATCAGTTAGTTCGCTAGCTACAAAGAGAACATGGCATGTTATTGCCACAGCTGACCTCATCAGGGGCTAAAAAATTACTTACTGGTAATCTTCGGTACAAATGGAGCCGATATTTGCTTGTTAGCAAGGGCGATCCAGTTGATTCCACGGAAGAAACGATGCGCTTTGAGTTCTTCAGCCCCACCGCTACCACCTCCAAGCCGCTTAGTGGGGTCTTTAATGAGCAGCTTCTCAATAAAATCACGTGCCTCACTCGAAATCGTTGAAGGCATTGGAGGCTGGTTGCGCAAAATACGCTTTGAGATCTCAGCCTGGTTGTTTTTTTCACCTTCGACGGTGAACGGGGAGGCTCCTGTGAGCAATTCGTACGTGAGCACTCCGACTGACCACCAGTCGGCGCAGTAGTCATGGCCTGTCGTACTCGCCTTTACGACTTCGGGCGCCATGTACTCGATTGTGCCACAAAACGAAAATGTCCGTTGCTGTTCGCTGCTGTTGTCACAGACAAACTCCTTGCTTAGACCAAAGTCTGTCAAGACGATGTGACCTTCGGCGTCAAGAAGAATATTCTCAAGTTTGATGTCTCGATAGATAATGCCCAGCTTGTGCAGCTGTTCGAGCGCGACAATGATCTCACCAATGTAAAACTTTACGTGAGCTTCCTCGAAATGGTCTCGCTGATACAGGTGCGTGAACAATTCACCGCCACTGATGAAATCTGCAAACAGATGACACAAAACATATTAGCTAGAATGCACGAACTAACACTACGAACAATAAATCAATTGAAGCAATAAACAACAAATCAGTTAGTAGAAAGTGCCCTGGTCTTTTTGTCTCTAGACTTTTCACAGCCCTTTCGACGAAGTCCTCAGTTGGCGCAGTTCGATTCCATTAGCGACAATGTGCTCGTTTTGCACAGTGACCCTATAGCGCAAACTGAATAAGCCGTCTCGTTGCTTAAACAACACATGAAAGCGATCAATCGTGGCAGGCACGTTTGGGTCACTAGTGAGTCACGTATGTAGGTTGTACTCAGTGATAGTATCGAGCATAAGTGTGTGACCCTGTGCAGATATATATGTGTACGGCTTTTGTTGATAGGACGACAGCAAGAACAGACATAAATAGGCCGTTTTTACGATGACGTTACCATTGAATACGTTAAACGACAATCCCGAGAAGGATAAGAAACACTTGCCCTCAAGAGCGTAGTTAGAGTTATGGTTAGTTGCTTCAGACGGATCTGCTGGCTGTCACTAGGACGACAAGCCTGGGCAGCGTTTTCAAACGGTTTTCCCTGATGCCGCTATTGCTTGCCTAACAAATTGTGTGCAAAACCGTTTCGACACAACCTTATTTGAACCATGAGTCTCTGAGTGTTTCAGCATTTTACCTGTCTGTGGGCTGAGGCAAGATACTACATCGAGCTACATAGGAATTACATGCGAGCGAGAACCGAATTCCACAAATCCAGACAATTGTACCGATGAGCTGCTGTTTAGTTCACTTACCGAGTATAAGATGCAGTTTGGTTTTCGTCTGGAAGGCGTAGTGAAGGTTGACGAGGAATGGACTCTGCCGGATCGCCTCAAGTACTTGTCGCTCTGTTTTTGTGTGTTCCAGGGTTTTCTGCTTCTGAACAATTGAGGCCTTCTTGAGCACTTTCATTGCATACAATTTGCCGTTGTCGTGACCAGCAATCTTCCGGACGAGAAACACTTTACCGTATGCTGCAAACAGCAAAGCATACACATTAGTGTTATTACCCACATTTTTCCTTTTAACTTCCGAACTTGTTTGGTGTTTTACCAAATATTAGGAATGAACTACGAAAGACTCAGCTTGCAAATATAACTTATATTAGTATAACTGTGCTAGTACCATTCAAAGTTAGTTTAAAAAAGGAGAATTCGTTTAAATTGTCTTTGTCGAAGCTACCAAGCATTAGCAGTTTAAACAAAATGATTTAAATATTCCACTTATTTTTTAAAAAGTAAGTAACTTACGTCCTTTTCCGTTACTTTTTAAATGCTTTGGATTCAGGAGAATACGGTTTCATTCTAATTTAGCGACATTATCGGGATACATCCGATCACAAAATGCCTACGACGTGCATTATGATCTCCTCAAGTATAAAAGAGAGTTCTTCGAGGGTACGTCTAGAAGTACTGACATGCCCACAGGTTGCTCTACAGGCGTAACAGTACACGTTAATTTAGCTACGACTGAGATGTTTTATCTGCTCGAAGATAGGATGCAGAATCTGAGTACTCTACCTCAAGCCATCGTTGCGTTTTTACAATGACTTCACGACTCACTGGAGAAGCGGATGCTACAACCCATTAGGGCCGACTCGGCTGGCAAACGGTTATATTATCGCTACTATGACCAGACAGATATTTTGGACTAATTCTCGACACTGTTATACATTCGAAAGTAAGAGCAATCACATCGTAGTAAGCCAGTCACTATACTCTAGATAAAAATTAATCTTAATATCATCGTTATACCTAGAGTAATCAAAGGAACTTGTATAGCTAGAAATTGTATTTGTCATATACAATATTCGACACATTTCTATCAAGTATTTAAACGAAGTCCACTCGCCTTACACAAAGTCTACTTTGTTGGCCATTGGCAGCGGAATATCTGTCTCTTTGTTTCCCACGTCCTTCCTCCTCCAAAAAAAAACACCGATTTGCATCATTGCGTGTCCATTGACTGCCTATAACGGGTTCACTCCAGCCACATGACATTCGGGAGCTACAAGTCGTATTACTTAGCCATGCAATTTGTTGTGCTGTTACCTCATTCACTTTATTCTGCTCAATACCCCCCAAAAATACAACTATACAACCAGCGAAAACACAAAAAATCCAAACAAATGGACAGATAGGGTAACAATCCTGCCAACTTTCAAAGGTCACGTACCAGTGATATAAGCACGGCCTGGACAGACAGCATGACAATTTTCGTAGTTTTTCGTCGTCCCTCATATTTTACTCGATATATGAAAGTCTTCACTCCGGAGGGGTGAAGGGAAGGGGTTGTCCGTTTCGCTCAGTTTGTGCATTGTTGGGTCGTCTTTCTCGTTGTTGATACTTGCGTCTTGTCAGCTCACTCATTTTCATTCTTTGCTTCTTCATACACTGCAGAGCGATTAGCTCAGCGACGGCCGGTCCGTAAACGTGTGTGTATGTGCAGGTGGCGTAATAGATCTCTAGAACGCTGGAGGGTCCAAGGGTTCCTGCTTTTTGCCCTATGGACCCTCATCGTTCAAGGCAAGCAAGAGTCAACTTTACACGCTGCTTGCCAACTTGATTGGTTGGTTGCTTTCTCCGACCGTCGGATCGTTTCGGCGCATAGCTACAGGCGTAGGAAGGTACCAGAGGCAGCTGCCGTTTCGACCGTCACTGAACAGGTTCATTGTCGTCGTCGTCGATGGTGACGCTGATCGTGACTGATGTAATGATGCTGCTGCTACAACTAATCTACGAAGCGACCCTCTTCCTGACAGTTCGCTTTGCTGATCGTAATGTTTTGCTAGCAGAGTTGCTACTATCACGTCCTCGACAGATGATATTATATTTATTTATAATTACCGTTTCTCTTCTAAAAAATCTTCTCTAAAAACTGCTAAATATATGTGCTGTCGTTACGACTAACATCATTGTTTATCCCATTGGTAGTGATTATCGGCGAGGGGTAGTTGACAGCGGTAGCGACTATCTTGTCGCATAAACTTCTATAAAAGTGTTTACCGCACTAATAATACGTAGCAGACAAGAGCAGAATTTAATATTAAAAGTAGCCATAAAAGCAACTGTAATACGAAGTTGTTGCACAGGCGCATTTTAGCATGTGTGTTGTTGTTGTAGCAGTGACAACTAAAGGCCCAACGTTTATTTACACATTTGTTATATAATAATGTTTTTCTCTGTTAGGCTTTGTCCGATTTGTGATAAACAGTAAACATATTTCGTCAGTAGTCCCATCATTACCGCCATTGCTGCTTTAGCAGGTTGTGGTAAAACACGCAGTAAACAGCGCTCGGTGCGCAGCTACCGTAGGGAAACCCCGAAGGGGCAATACTGCGCAAGCGACTTGGCAAGGCGTTACGCCTACCAGTCGAAATATACAGAACAGCTATAACGAACGATAAGATCATGTCCTGCTCTAAACACGAACTACTGTCTGAGCTATTTCCACGGCTAATTGCATAAAATTCATCAGATCTCTATTGATTTCATTGTCTAAGTGCTCTTCCTGAGGTAACACGCCTCGACATAATCTAATGCTGTTAGATTAATGCGATAGTTCGACTCAATAATATCTATTCCGAATTCGCCATAGCAGCTGGAGAAAATAATTATTAAGAGCAATAGCAGAAACAACAGCAGCGTCGCGGGAGCAAAGACCTTTTATACCTCGGACGCTTCTGTCACTATACTTAATATCGATGATTTTTTCTTGTTGGCCGATGCACAGCAGCGGCGATAGTAAAGACAGCATCAGGCTGTCGTTGCTGTTACTGATGACGATGAAGTATTGATGGTGGCGTTAGTGATGAACACTCGATACTATCACCAGCGTCACAAATAGCGCTGCTACCTTCACTGTTGCCGATGCCACCGCCACAGTCAGCGTTACCACCGGAGCCGCGAACGCCGTCCATCGCCGAAACTGCTCGTTCACTTCGAACTAACCCTGACCCACTAGTGGCTTTGCTCGCCTGAATGCGCCGGGCGCGTAACTGGGTCATTCATTCGAACGGCCCAGCGAGCGACGAACAAGGCAAACAAACGAGCAAGAAGCAGCAGCAGTAGCGATTCATCCATCCGTCCAAGTCGGCTAGCTGCGTAGCTGGTATCCAGCGGTAATCAGGCAGTCGCGAGGCGGTCCATAGAGAGCAAGTCAACAAACCAACGCAGCAAACAACCGTAAGGGCTAACAAAGTGTCAACGACGACGGTGGCGGCGGCGGTAATGGTGGCCGACGCTGCTATTGCTTCTAACCGCTACGAGAGTCAAACAACCACCGCTGCTGCCGTTGTTGTTACGTCGGGCTTGCGTCTCGTCGGGCAGCCCCAGCTGGGGATGGTTCGCGCTCTTTATGGCTGTTATGATCGCTTCGGCGGCAGCAACGATTCTTGTTGGCCCTCTGCTGCCGCCGCCGCCGCCGCCGCTGCTGCTGCTGCTGCTGCTGCTGGGGATAGTGATGGTGGTGGTAATGTTTAAAGTAACAGCAGTATTAGCGTTGAAAGAGAAACTACAGCAGTCAACAGGCCGCTGCAAGAACTTCTACTACAATTTAGCCATTGCGATCACGACGAATGACAATGATGACAAGCAACATCCAGACGATGCCAGGGAGGCAGATATCGAACAAGAACCCTCACCAGCCGAATCTGGTTGAAGAACACGACACCGGTAAAAGGATTTTTATCAGTTTGTTGCTGCTGCTGCTGCTGTTACCGTAGCCAACGATGATGGGGACCGCTGCAACGGCAACTCGTCATTCCCCTCACGGCCCGCCCCAAACCCACAGTCCATTTTCCCCGCTAATTTGCAAACGTGTGCTTCAATAATAACGATAAGAATACTGGGATGAAACGACGACAAGAATCGCCTAGCCTCACTGACTGACTGACTGACATCAGCTCGAAAAATGGAACGTCATCGTCGGCGTTATATATATGTATGTATGTATGTATGTGCAAAAAGCGAAAAACAAACAGTATTAGCGCAATTGGTGTTATAAAATGCCGCATACGCTCTTTAGTACAGTGCTGCTTCCTTTCCAGTGACCTAAAGTAGGTACTGAACTTCTAGCAGAGCACTGCTAAACGGCTATACATAAACCTGCATTTTATTCTCGCAGTTGAAAAATGTAGATGGCAAATCCTGCCACCATAGGCACAGTAATCGCCATCATGATCTTTTTTCTTAGTGTTTTCCTAGCAGGGTCGATGGATAAGCATGTAAAGACAATAATAGCGATGACGAAAAGACATCACGAAACCAAGACATCACAGGCTATCATTGCCTTTAGGACTGCCATTAGTTGTCGAAAATTCTATTTGCTGCTATTATCCGCAATCGTCACCCATCCACCGATCGACACTAACTTGGTGTTGATGTTGCGCTTGTCGTCGTCGCGGTCAAACGAGGACACGATTATTTTTGCTGCTGAGGCGCGTTACGGCGGCCATAGAATCACTAGCAGCGGCAAGACCAGTAGGATAGTCGTAGCATCCAGTGATCCGGTCGTTGCCGCAATGGTCGTAGCAACTCGTCGGAAGCTCCAGCTTCCGACTGGGTCCGTAGGTAGTCAACACACTTCCGCTTAAAACCGTTGTCGCCATCACCAGCATCATGATCAGATCGAGAATCACCGAGAAGCTGGCGCCAACATGCCGATGGAGCTATTCGGCACCGGATCTCTTAATGGCCGTCCAACCATTCCAACAACATCCACCACCGCCCCCCACCGCGGCCAATGGCCCCGGCTGCTTCGAACTGATTCGAACACTGGCCGCTATTTTACCGTTATCCTCCCTGTGAATGCGCGCAAGAAGGGGCGCTGTTGTCGTGCAGAAGATTTCCGGCTAAATTGTTTTTCACCGCTGCTGTAACAGGGGCCAAACCAAATAATTTTATTGAAAACGACCCGCAACTTTCAAAACAAACTATAGTATAGTTCAATAAGCAGTACTTGGGATAAATTTTCGTTGAATTGTTCAACGACTTTGGATGACAACAGTGAAAAAAGTACATTGGGCACCGTACGTAGCCTGTTATTGTTAACCATTGGGCGGTGACAGTTGTAATGCACGATCAATCAGACATTTTCGTCGTCCTAATGACGACGATCAAGCATCAAATGCTTCCTGACGTTATATATGCCGTGTTTGTCTAAACGTGTTTATGACTTCTATTTCTAACTTACCACCCGCAATATCTGTTACACCACTGCGACAATATTGCTGTTTGTATTAGAGGGAGGCCTGCAAAGATCTTCGTAGCATTATCATGTCACATTACTCGTATTCGAGTTGTCATTGCGTTCTAACTTATGTAGTTGCCAATTCACTGTCGCATTAATGTCTACCTACGCACGTCTGGAATATATCATATACATGTACAATTGTTGTTCTAACAGCGAAAAGGGCTTTTCTTCAAGGCAACATGTGGCGTGCCGAGCGATTTTGGTTTCTTTTTTTCAGTTATGTGTAGATTTCATATATACTACACATTATGATCGTAATCGTTGCCGCCGTTTATACTGTTCTTACGAATGCTGCTATTGCTATTCAGCGAAATTTGTTTTATCGATGCCGTTGGCCTATCGTTGCTCCGCGTAGTTGCTGAAAACGTGTTGTATGCTGCCACATGCGACTGTGGGAGTGCTCAGTTAGTGGACGATTATGTTACCCTCAGGCCGCAGCGGAAAGATCTGTTTGCTTGCTTTGCGCAAGCAGAAGAACGTATATCTGACTTTTGATGAATCTATCAAGATTGCTATTATGTACGCATGCGCTACAGGAGATAACGGAACGCTGACGTCGACAATGCCATGCTAAGATTGATTGTCGGCTTTCATCTCGCATAGCGTTTCGCCCTGAGGATGTGCGTCATCTCCAAGACTGTACAATCCAAAACGATAACAATAAAAACGTCAATAACAAGGTAGGTATTCCGGCCCCGGGCTTAGGGACTTACCGCCAGCAGCGAAACAAAGCAACGAGCCACGTTCAAATTGGCGCGCGTAAAGTTGCTCCCCGCCCACTTGCACAGTTTTCTCGCCCGGCAATGGCTTGAAATCCATCCTACCATCGTTTTATTGATATGCGCTCTATTATGCAATGAGCAGCAACTGTATCCCGTAACAGTTCAAGCACTTTTAATTCATATTGCCACAATTAACTCTCGTAGATGGAGAAGAAAATATCGTTCTCCCACAAGATGATTCGTCATGTCGACGGTACACGTTTAATCATTCCTCGAGTGGGTCAAGCGACACGAAAAATCTAGAGCAGTAATACTTTCATAACTGAACTTGCAGCTATTTATATGTATAGATGTTCTGTGAATCTATTATATACGAATGTGACAGCTCACACTTATACACAAGATGTAGCAAGTGTTTTGACTCCCAGCAGCATCTACGGTTTATTCGTCTTTCTTTGCATCATCCGGTTCACGGATATGGGTCATCACTAGCACCAGTTAGACCGACAGACAGAAGGAAAGGGGAACCAGAGGGCCCCCGACGCCTCTGCCGTTACCAAACCCACCAGCAGCAACGGCTCCACTCGGGGCTGTCTGAAGGCGATGGTGACGCAATTCCCAGTGAGTAAGTGTCTGCTAGATAAGCTACGTCTTCCGGCTACAATCTAGATGGCAATGTTCTTTGGCAAACGAACATTCTTTTAAGTTCGATTTTCACTGCTTCTCCTTCCATTGGATATTCGACCATGGTAAGCTGAAGCGAACTACTCCATATCATCACCGATAAATCATTACGACTTAGTTTGAGGTGGGCCCTTTCAGTAACAGAAAAATTACCTCATTTTGTTCGTATCACCTGTTCACTACAACGGTGTTTAGTCTTGATTATACATAACAGACGACCCTGTTATATTCAAAGCTCTGGTCAAGTCCAATCCACTACATATGACAGTCTTTCTCCTTCTGATATATAGACATAGAATAAACGGCGATTGTACTTAACTAAAGATGAGAAGGAATGTGGGCTTTTTTTCGTCCCCATTGGCACGAGCTAGGCTTTGGGCTACGATTGCGTGTGTGTTTCGTTGCGTCTGCCAGTACCTATGTTATATTTTGCAGCCAAAATCGCAACGTCAGCAACAGTGTCACTAGTTGCTGGCGCAGAACAGACTGTAAAGTAGATGAAATGCCAGGCCGGAACCGATGTATTCCGGCCCGGCTATCGCAGATCCGGGCGGCGAAGTGTGCGTCGATGGTGAATCAATGCGGATCAAGAACGCTGCTGGTGCCGCCGTTGAAGGATCCAATCCATAGTCAGCCGCGCGTAGAGGTAGCCAAGGCGAAAAGAGCCCTGCAGATCGGAGAATCAGGGGCGCCAACAGCAGGAGTTGTTCGTGGCTGTTTCTCCAGAGTCCTTCTTATCCTTTTCCTTGTAATTGCGTTAAGCGCGTATCAATCAGCCAACGAGTTGACCGACCGGCTGATTCGCCCAGTAACAACAAGTCAACGCTCCAGCGACGCGGTTATTGGATGAGAACAGACACGTAATCACGTAACTAAACGGCTGGAACAGTAGTCAATTCTGCTGTTACTCGCGGTTCTCTACTGAGCAGCTGTAGCTCGAACGCTTCGAGTCAGCGAAGTGTTGCGTGGAGGTGCGCGCACGATCGCGCTGACGAAGCTGCCTCACAGTTGACTTGGCCTATGGATCGCACCAGCTTTCTCGCCACTACAGGCTCACTTATTTCGCTATAAGCTACGACAGCGTGAAAGAACAGCGTAGCATTCAGTTTCTCTCTTTTTGCTCTCTTTATCGTACGAACAACTATCGGCAGCAGCGAGAGACCGATCGCAATGGCACTTGGTTCGCGGCGTTGCTTCACTATCGGCAGAGCACTGTGTAGCCGAACAAAGTCGAAGTCAGACGAGTAACCTAATGAAGAAAAAAAAAAGTACCGACTGCAGCGCCAGAACCAGCAGTTAAAGTCAGACTTAGAACATTAGAAGCGAGTAACACGCTGTTACGGCTTTTGCAACCGCTGCTGCTGCTGCTGTTGTTGTCACTGGTGGTGTTAGTGTGCCAGATTCTCCGCGCATGCGCAATTTCGGCTGTGGCGTCGGACCATACTACACTCACTATACGCCGTACACGTAACTCGACTAATTTGCCTGCTCTTCAACGACGACTACTGCTACTACTAGTACTACTACCGCTTCCATAGCCGTTACTATTTTGTAACTACAGCACCAGCAACCGGAGGCAGCTGTGTTACCCACGAAGCATCACTGTCATCAATAGGATCACCGGCCACAGCGGCGTCACAACATCGCAACCACCACAGGCCACGCAGTAGCCAGCCAATTAGCCAGCCAACTTGACCCTATTTTTTCGCCGGAAGAATTCGGCCGGAGCAGCAGCACTGGCAACGGCGCATCGCCACCGCTTCTACAGCCGCACGTAGCTAGCTCTGTCGTTGATGCTGCCGCTTCTATTATGCGACGCCGCTCTGACCATCGATTTAAGCGCTGCTGCTGTTGTTGTTACTGTTACATTTCTTCAGTTTTTGCTTCGTTCATGCTGGCTCGCTCAGCTGCCTTTGCCCGCGTCCTTTCGCCGCGTTCGCATTGCACTGCCTACAGCAACAACAGAAACGACTCGGTCACACTACTAGCCTACGTCACAGATACTGCGAGTTACCACACCATGAGAGGACAGGACTAGTACAGGAAAATTGCGGGAGACAGAAAATTCTTGAATATTTTGCCTGTTGTCCCGCAAGCTTTCGTTAGAGACATCGCGAAATATGAAAAAGAGATAGTTTGGTGGATCGCGGTGGAAGAAGCACAAGGACAGATGACAGAAGCGGCTACGTTAGTCGTAGCTCTGTATTTGGCGCGGTCTCCGTTGAGCTGCTTCATGCAGTTTGCGTGTGGCAGCGTAAACATATGGGGATCCTGCCAGTTGTTGTTGGTCTAACGACAGGATCAAGGGAATTAACGCTAATATTAAATACACGAGTTAACCCTCAACATTAGACAGTCTCAACATACATACTAATATACGCATCCGACACGAAATTCAGCGGAGCTTTTTCGTCCTACGCAACTGAATCTAATAGGCCAAAAAAAAGGTTCGAAGAACGACAGTCGAGTCATGACGTTGACGCCGGTGTGATCTGAAGCCGGAAGTGCAACTCAAAAAATAAGGCACTTTCTCCAACGAGCACTACCAACTTTCATTCTGTGAATTATTAGTAGTTAGCAGTAGTAGTAGATGATAGTTATCAGCTTCTAATTCCTTTCCTTTCTGCGCATATTCATCCAGTCTTATGGGTTCATTTCGCCTGACTCTGTTCTGTAAGCAATCGCAGCGTTGCTGGGGAGGCAAAGCTGTAATCGTGCGATTGAAGCGTGTCGATGCCTGTCGTTGATCGTCGGTGCGGTAACTGCACGCGTTTGTGTGGCCGCTTCTGTGTGCCCATCCATCCATCCATCCATCCATCCATCCGTGTATCTGTCCAGCGTACGGTCGTCCATTGGGTGCGCACTTCGTCTTTAGACCAAACAGCGGTGAAGGTTTTCGGAAGGATTTCCTCTCAAGGACGCAGCTAGCAACTGTAGCAGCAGCAAGAGCGTCGCTTAGGCACCGCAGCAGTTCAGCGGTGTTGAAGCGACAATCAAGCGTTTGTAAGTGCCATATTATGATGAGCATCAGGTATAGCAACTACTACTAGAAAACAAGAGGGTAATATGCTGTCATTTGTAGGAAACAGCCGTAGACGACTGCTGTTGACGCTAACGTCGTCAGTCATAGGCACTGGAACTGTTGTAACAACCAGGTTGTGCAAATGAACAAGGAAAACGTGAATACATCAAAGATCGTATTTAACCATGTATCAATATTACCATTTCTACTGCCAAACGTTACTGGCACAATAAAAACAATAATCATTTCATTCAACTTTACGATTCGTTAATGGCAACCGCAGCTACATGGACAATGTAGTTGGCAATCGGAAAAAGTAGCAGCTTACTTCACTGTCGCATCGTACAACAATATCTGTATGTAATACATGCATAAGCACGCGTCCATTCGTAATAACAACTGTGTGGGCTATGAGCTGAGCGTACAAGGCATATTCTGTCGTACGTACCGTATATATCTTAAACATGATCTTCCGAAACGTGAGTTATTTGCTTCTCGAACATGTTTTCTATTATTGCACCTATATATAGCAGAATGCCGTTTTAGTTCGGCGTATTTAAACGTGGTGACACGACTGGCTCTTATAAAGACGTATAGGGGGAAACACATAAAGTAATTTATGGCTTTATCTAGCTACAAATGTGCGAGATATCTGAGATGTCCTTGTCGAGCATCTGCCGAGTTACCATATATATATATATACATAACTCCCCTCACAAGGACACCGCATATATCTATTATATCTGCTATTTATAAAACTGTCATCAGTTTAAGAACTGTGGCGGCGAGCACACAATAAAGACCCGGGAATTCTTTTCCCGAGAATAGACGCAGTCGCAGACATTGTTTGTTTGTTCTGCGTTCTTATGTTTTTACCCTACCGACTGTTCTTGTTCAGCTGAAAAGCCTTCCTCAAGTCTCCATCTCAGAAAACAACTAATACGAAGAGCCGTCGGCTGAAATAGCAAAATAGAGACGCAAAGCAACGCCCATGGATTGAATCTGTTCCGTCGTCTTCCTTCGTCTGTTTCTTGCGTCAGTCGCAACTCGGAAGAACAGAAGCAGCTTGCGCCAGCTTCGGCACAGCTTCCACAGCGGCCAATCGTTGGCGTTCGGCATTCAGCACTCGACCCGGACAGCAGCGCGAGGCACTCCAGCATCAGCAGCAGCGGTAGTGACGTGAGCTGACGATGCTTCGAAGATGTCCTCGTAGCCTCCTCTCTCCTTTTGATTTTCTTTTCTATCTTGTCCTCTTCAGCCGGTATGACCCAGTGCCGCCTGGCCTGCACATCCCGCTAGCGGTGGTGCTGGCGCTCGTGGTGGCGGCGGCGGCGGCGGCGGCGGCAGAAGCGGCAACAACAGCTGCTACGCAGTGGAACAGCAATCACACGACGAGCGACCGTTGTCTGCATCAGCGTCCACTAGCGCTGTCATTAGCGGCGGCAGCAGCAGCAAACATCAGGCGCCAGAATCGCATAACGGACGACAATCAGGGAGCGAGCGAAAAAAAGCGCAGCAAAAAAAAAGAAACAACTCGAGAAGCCAACCATCGCCACTAGAGCATTACGCAGACAACGGCGCAGAGATGCCGGTTGCGCCGTTGTCTCTGTGCTGTTATCGGAACAACGTTGCAGCAAAGGAGAAATACAAAAAATTTGGAGCGGAACTGTAGTGACAAAATCAGTAGCCGCGACGACAACTGAAGAGACAGACCGAAGTGTGTGAGCCCGCGCCAGGTTTTGGCGGTGTGTCATTTGATTTATGGCGCTTTCTTGCCTTCGACCCCCCTGGACTCCCTCTTTTTGCTGATCGTGTGCTGGCCGTGTTTGCCACATTGCGCGTAATGCCTAAGTTGAACAACAGCAACGGCGTAAGACTCGAGTGGGTTTGTACCAGCGAGAGGCCGAAGACAGAACGGCCAAGTTGGCCAGCCGACCCAGCGACATGGCCCCGAACGCTGGGGCCGAGAGCTGATCGTGCCGCTGACGTAGCCCCAGATCCAGAGCTAAATAACAGCGCGGCAGCGAAGTGCTAGCGCTAGTTTAACGGTGCTTTGAAGCTGTATGTGGTGGTGATGTCCTGTGCTGCTGCTGAAGTAACGAAGCAGTAGATCAGCCTGAGCGACAATGAGCAACTGAGCAGTGGGAAATTGTTGGTGAGAGACGAGACATCATCATGGCCCAGAAGATGGAGAAGGAAGAGAAGAAGATTCCGGCGGATCTTGCAACTTCAGTAGTCCGGGACCGTGATACGATACTACTTGATGCGCAAATATGTTTTGGGCAACCATTTCGGCAACTATGCCGGTGTGGGACTGAGGTCGGCTATGTGTTTTCGCTAAACGCGCGACTTGTCGGTTTTCTTCCACCATCCAACCGGTCTCACCGGTCCAACTACTAAACAATAGTCATATGCCTAGCTTTATATAAGAAATGGCGCTCTAATCGTTGTATCTGTATCTAGTCATATGAATATAATCATATATAACTCTTAGTTTAATAGAAGACAATGGGCGATAGGTAAGACAACGTTGCACATTGCCCTATAGAAAATAAGGAGTTGCTCCGAGCTTAGGAGAGACATGGTGCAATATACATATGTATATTTGCCTACCATTTGCCAATAAACTGTACCGCCACCGTCGATAGCATCATCGTATACCAGAAGGTAAATAGTTACAGAAAACGTGAGGAAAAGATCAGAATTAACTTACCCCCGGTTCCGAGTACTCTGAGGAGCTCGAAGTTTGTCATGTTCACGTGGCCGCCGTGTTGCTCTGGCAAATTGACTGAAACCAAATAGATATGTTCCATTAGATTACTCGCGCCGCTCAATCAAAACACAGTTTCTACTGCTATAACGGACTATGGTACACAGTTTACTCCACTCTCACGGCGTCAGCCGTCTCACGAGAGAGTCTGGACAGCAGACGGAACAGATACTAGATCAATATGCACACTACCACGGATACTATTATAGTTCAATATAGAGTCGATAGATACAGAAATAATACTAGAATGACAACGTCGTTGCCATTATCTGAAGACAGCCGCCGCTTGGATCAATCATTCTCGGACACACAGTGTACTCAATTCGAAACGTCGTACGACGATCGTTAGATCTGTTCGAGGCGATTAGTGGCAAGGCAAAGGTGCCTCGAAAGGGCTCGACTTAAATAAAATATTGGGCATATACCATAACTGGCACGAGCCACGTATTCTCTTATATACACGTATGGTCTCTTGATGCATTCACGATTAGCTCGCCGACCAACAAGTAGACCATTCAAAAGAAGGCATCGATCGAACGAATTACTACTGGCCTATTTCTGTGATATTAACCCTATCCTTTCTCCCTCTAGTAGTGTGGTGGTTGTTGAAATTAAATCACGGAAAAATAAAAAAACTTAGTAGCAACAATACTGAGCGTTCTAGCCACAACGGAGGCAACCCAGTGAATCTATTCAATGTATACTCGACTAAGCCATTAGCAGCGCTGACAAGTAAGAAAAAAGGTATTATATACATTACAATCCATATACATGCACGACTAGTTAATTTTCGTTTGCTTTAATGGCGACCCCCTGCTGTGGCGATATGATAAACAAACATGTTCGTCAGTACCAACAACTGTTGTACAATGGGTAAGCACAATACGAAAACGCCCGTCTATGATTGCATAGGATTCCGATGACAGTGAACGATACGACTAGGAATAATCACGAATCAGAAAGGAAATAAGCACCATCACATTATTATTAAAAGACCTAGTTAATGAAGTATGACTACGGTAATCGCGTCTGAAGTGTGCCCAGGTCACTTTGCAAACATGTATAAACGAAGCCAGGCATGATGTTGCATCTTATCGATTACATGCTACAAAGGCATCCCTCGAATACCTAACTGATGAGGATAGTTTGATGTTTCTCACAGACTTTCAGGGAGATCTTCAGGCCGTATGCTGAACAAATGTGCATCTCCGGGCAGACGAGTTTTCCCTCAACTTGAACCCGCACCTGGTAGGCTGACGCTGCTGAATAAGTTCAGACTATTTTTTTTTTTGCTATTGACGCTTAAACTCTAGGAAACCAGACAGCTATCCAATGGGAAAAATCAGCCCAAATCAGTTGTTTAGACGACAGCTCACTAATATATTGATGCTTCAATCTACGTGTGATGGAAAACATTATTGCCACAATCAAGGCCATATACAAAAAAAGTTTTTAAGCAAACATACAAACTGGACGTACATACTAAATAATTGTGATGATTTTCAGCGATGTATTTTTACTTTATAACCACAGCTGCAACAGCAACACAGTGACACCCTTATTCTATATCCCATAACCCTCATCGGTAGCTATACTGATAAGCTTCTGCTTACAGTTCAGAATTTCCCATTTATCTACCGGGTCATCTCTTCGACCTAGCCTTTATAGTTTAAGGCTATCATGGAGAGCACGATAACATCAGATTACACCGCATGTCCTGCCTACACACGAATGCTAGTATCGTTATAGGCCCGGCCGGCCTTGCGCACGTTACAGATTAATAAACAACGACTCCGCTAAAAATAATCAATTCGAAATCAACGACACAGACAAAATGTAGCACGAACAAGGGCAGCAGTAAGCATAAGATCGTAAACATGGCCTAATACATTCAAAATATCCTTTATGCGTTCGCTACTCAAAAGAAACATTCTAGCACAACACACAATGTGAAATAAATTTTTTTTTTTTTCGTTTTCTTTTTTGAGCATTGTTGGCGCCTGTTAGAGCTATGTAGCGGAAATCATTACGACGATGACAATGAGGACGCTTTTTATTATTATTGAAATATTTAACGTTACCTGTATCTCTATAGATGCATATATACGTACATAGGTTTAATACAGTTTTCCATGTTAACCGGCCGTTTACCCATGCGAAATAGCATTGGTGTCGGGTAAGATCAACATTTCAACAGTCACCAATTTTGTTGCCGATATATGCGGCAACGAAATCAGTGGCATTGACATGCCTAATAGGTAAGGCTTTATTTAAACGTCCGACTCCACTTCCGAGTGAAATCTGATTGTTGCAAAGGAGCAAACAGCCAACGAACGTCTATAGCTCGTTGGGACTGATGCGGCTAGATGCCCCGAAGCTCGTGCGACCACCTTGCTATACATATGCAAAATGCAAGGGAAGTTTTGAAAGATTCGATCGAGGGCACTGCTAATTAAGGACATAGTTATAAGCTAATTAGAAGAACAAATAATAAGTGGCCATACAAG